GGTGAGTGTTTGAGCGCGTCGCTGAAATTTAAAGAGGTTTGTCTTGGTTATAACTGGCATGTTCAGTGATCACCCACTCTAATTTGCAGCCGTTGGATCAACATCAGACGGACGTCCTCTTTCACTACACCATCTTTTCCTCGAAACCCTAGCCACCAACCTTAGTAAATGGGCCAGGCCCATATTATCTTGAGGAAAAAAAACAGAAAAATCTCTGGCCCATCAACCTTCACTCACTGCTCCTCCAAATTAAACGCTAGTTTTCTAAAAAAAAGAAGAAGAATTAAACCCTAGCTGCTATTAATCCCCTTCTCCAATCTCACCATTCAGCACCCACAACATGCTTACGGAGTGGCGGATCCACCATGAGATATACGGGGTCTCAAACCCCAAAAGGGCTAAAAGGCAATCATCCGCGCGCGCGCCCCCGCGCGGCGAGGCAAGTGGCGCGCGCGGAGGGGGCTGCGTGGCAGCACGTAGCCGCGTCTGTACGGTGGGGCCCGCTGGTTTTTTCCGTTGGTTTTTTCTTTTCCTTATTTTGCGGTTTTTCTTTTGTTTTTTTTTCTTCCGGTTTTTTCTTTCTGTTTTTTTCTTTTCGGTTTTTTAAGCATATGCGGATACGTATAAAATGTTTGTATACGTGTATAGAAAGTTTGTATATGTGTATACAAACTTTATATATATCGTATACAAAGTTTGTATACTTGTATACGAATATACATGATGTTTTTTTTTGTTTTTTCATTTTTTAATATGTACATATACAAAGTTTGTACACGCCGTATACAAATTTTGTATATGTGTATATTTTTTTATACATAAAAAAATATATAGTACATATAAAAATATATATATTTTATAGTAGTAATACTATTAATAGTATAACAGTAGTAGTAATAGTAGTGTAGTATTAGTGCTACTAGTAGTAGTACTGTAGTAGTAAACTAGTAAGACTAGTAGTACTGTAGTAGAAGAGTAGTCAGTAGTACTAGTAGACTGAGCGCTCGTCGCGCGTCTGTGCCTCCACGCGACTAGTCGCCCATTAGGGTGACCCCTTAAACCCCCATTGCCGGCGTTGTAACCATAGGAGCCTCCACTTCTTATTATATATCCATTAGAAGAGGGGTGCTATAGTTTTGTATAGTTTGTTTAGCCCCTCCTTTTATCCTTTCTTGGATCTGCCCCGCACCATTTTATATATACCTGCACATGGTGCTGCTTGCATTGCCAAAGAGCTGCCGTCACCCTCTCATCCTCTTTCATTACACCTTTCTTATGTGTTGTCATGCTATATCATCACACTTGTTGTTTTTCTAGTTTCTATAAGGTTTTCTCTCTACACCACTATATAAGTCGGAAAAATATACAGTGCAAACCGCATATGTAGTGAAAACTTGAAAACTACCGTTGGATCGAGAAATGGACATCCGAGATTCGTCCACGTCACCATGAGTTAAAACTTAACTCGCAGATTCACTCATGAGTTAACTCATGGTGACGTGGACGAATCTCGGATGTCCATTTCTCGATCCAACGGTAATTTCTAAGTTTCCACTACATATGTGGTTTGCACTATATATTTTCCCATATAAGTCACTATTTCTCTCTTAAATACATCACTACTCCCCTTCTATTCCAACCCCAAAAACTTATATATGATGTGTCTCAGAGTAAATCCAACGTTAAAATATATGAGTGTCCATCTATTTATTGGTTATATTATTAAAATAGAGTTAAATGGAACCATGTTTTACTCCAAGTGCCTAAGATATTACCATGTTTATATTGAATAAAAAGAAAAATAATAGCACAATTTGATCATCTTAGGTATATAGGTTATAATTTATAAAGATGAAGATTGAGTGGTAAAGTTGTATGTAAACTATAGCAAACATAATTCTGTTCAAATTACATAGCCATGTAAAATTGCGCGGGAAATCCAACTAGCTAGGAGTGAAAATAGTGTGAATGCTAACATGACGTTTATATGTAGTGGGAGTGCATTAACAAATGAATTAATTCTGGTTGCACATCTTAAATCGGATGCGTCCTCACCGTGAGTGTATATAAGGATAATCTTGATATATCGGACCCATCAGATTTTGCTGTAAGTGGATTATCAAAGTTTGCCTACTTTAAAAATGCTTCATATCCATTTAAAATCAAACACAACACAATGAATGCATATAAGGATATCCATTTAAAATCAAACACATTCTCACCATGAATGCATATAAGGATAATCTTCATATATCGGACCCATCATATCTTTTTGGTAGTTGATTTATCATTTTTAGCTTCATCAGTTGTCCATATTTCCTTATTAGGGAATAAAATTTTCTTAAATTAATCAACCAATATAACCCTGCGACATCTTGCAAAACATTTGTGGCAATCTGCTAACAATGCATTCATTCTAGCAATTTCACTGCACATTCACTCGTCTGAATCTCTCTTTGCACTTATAGCTTGCCAATTCAGTAACATTATATCTGAAAGTTAATAGTCGTTCACAAAGGAAAAAGGACCTTCCAATTCCTAGTAGAAAATAAACGCAACTATATGTAGCAGCAGTAGCCTCAAATTGGATTGAGATCCTCCGTAGTCGACTTCATCGTGCCATTGTCACTGACATGTGGGGACATGTGGGCCTGACAAAGGCACGGTGAAGTGACTGCAGATGCCCTCAAATTGTGAGGTCCTCTGAGCAACTCATCAAGCTCCTTCTCATCAGGCGGGTTCAGATCAATGCACCCGATCCCCATGGCGATCTCTTCCATCTCATCGCCGTCTCGCTTCCTTCTCCTGCAGCCGTCGCCATCCTGCAGCTGCCTACGAGTACTACCCTTCTCATTGATCTTCTTGACAAGCACTGCATCCGGCAAGCCATGGCTCTCGACGTCATGGTTGTTCACGTTGGCGCCGTAGAGGTCGTCCCCGAGTGCACGGTGGCCGGCGTTCAGGACGTGGCCGAGGTGCGTCCTCACGGTGAAGATGGTGTCGTTCTTGCCCAAGTCCGACGCGCGCGCGACCTGCGCGTACGCGACGCCGGCGGCCGGCTCCGGCTCGTGGTCGACGTCGAGAACGACGTACTCGACGAGCTGCCGGCTGGTGAGCGCGGGCTCGAGCCTGCACCTGTCGTACTCCTTGATGCCGAGGTGGACGACGCGGAGCGTGGAGGTGTCGAGCAGCGCGAGCGCGTTGGTGACCTTGACGCAGAGGACGATGGGGCCGAGGCCGCCGAGGTCGCGGGACGCCTCCTTGGGGAGGAAGACGAGGTCGTCGCGGCACACCGGGCAGAGCTCCACGGCGAAGGTGTGCCTTGTGTCCAGGGCCGGTCCTAGGTTTTTGGGCCCCAGGGCAAAAACTTATATGGAGGCCCCTATATATATACACATAAACTAATATATATATTTATATAGTCATACAACATTTAATATTCGATGTGATAAAATTATCTATATATATAACATTTTAAAACTTCAAAGAGAAATAAATAGCAGTAGTGAGAAGAGAAGGCGATCGGCGGATGATCGACACGAGCGTGGCTACTGGCGAGCCACGATTTGCCGACTTGTTTCCGTTTGCGAGACGCCGAGAAGTCGAGAAGTCGCCGAGAGTGCAGGAGCAGCGAGCGACGTGACGTGATTGAGGCGGCACGACGCAAGTGGCGTGATGTGATCGAGGCGAAGCAACGGGAGTCAAATGAAGATCGCTTCGGCTTCGCTGAAATAGGCGTGACGATGGACTAAAATTCATTTTCTATATTGGGCTATTTAGCTGTCAAACTTAATATAGATCCATAGCCATAGACTAAAATTATATAGTACGTAGTATATATATTATATGTGTATATAAGGGGGGCCCTAGATTTTGGGGGCCTCGGGCGGCCGCACGGCCTGACCCCCCTAGGGCCGGCCCTACTCGTGTCGTGCGAGACGAGCTGCTTGGACGCGACGACGCGGGCGGGCGACAGCGAGGTGACGAGGTCGACGAGGCGGGCGGCGTGGGAGCGCGACGCGAAGAAGAAGTCGAGCCCGCCACCGCCGCCGCGCCGACGCGGAGGGCGTCGCCGGCGGCGCCGTGGGCGACGACCTGCTGCTCGAGGTGGAGCAGCGTGCGGCGGTGCGACGCGCGCTGCCGCACCTGCACGACGGCGGACCAGCCGCACTGGTCGGGGGGCTCGGCGGCCCGCGCTCTCGCCATGGCGCACGCGTCGCAGAGGCGGTCGTGGACGGCGAACTCCACGACGTGGCCCTGCTCCAGCGTGACGCCGCCGCCGCTGCCGTGGAGGACCTCGCCGCGGAGGCGGAGGCGGAGCATGAGGCGCCTCGAGTGGGGCTCGGTGAAGACGAACTCCGCGGCGGCGAGGGCGACGCCGAGGCGGGCGATGTGGCGGTCGACGCGGCGGAGGAGGAGGCTCATGAGCTCCGGCGACTCCGGCGCGGCGCGGAGCCAGAGCCGCGGCGGGTGGAGGTAGGAGGAGCAGGACGGGCAGTGCACCACGTCGGCGTGGCGCGGCACCCCCGCCGCGATGTCGACGCGCGAGCGGATGCAGAGGGCGCACGTGTTGGCCGCGTTGGGCGCCATGGGGACGCCGCAGGTGCAGCAGATGGACGTGCGCGCGGCGGCGGCCGGCTCCGGCCGGGGAGGGAGGAACTGCATGCTGAGTTGCACCGGCGGCGGCGGCGGCCACGACGACATCGCAATTGGCTGCTGCACCAGCGGCGGGAACGATGGACGTCTGGATCGTGGCGGCAAGGGTTTGGGGAAATACGAGGAGATCGAGAGGCTGTCATGGTTTATTAGGGTTTATTTGCTGCTGTTAATGGGCTATCTTGCTATCTCCCTCGGCCCAGCCTATGATGTGTGTAAGGCCCAAATAGCAATATAGGAGAAAGGTATCTCTGAGACGACACTTGTGCTAAACCCCTCATCTTGTGTGTGATCCTGCATAATTTTCAGAATCAATCGAACCATACGAAAGATGCGAATTAGGCAAAGTGAAACGGGAAGAGTGTTTTTCTTCAGACGAATGCTATGGTGACAGACTGACAGTCCTTTATCAACATTACATGAGTAAACTCCGGCAGAGTGCTGTCAACAGTCCCCATAAGTGAAAATAAAAGGCACGACAATCCTAGAACAAAGACAAACAATAAACAGGTCCCTCCGAGTGCTCGTTGGGTCAAAAACTCGTATATTACAAAGACAAGTCTTACAAGTTGCAGGCTATGAAGAAAAATACGGTGACACTGTTGATATGAATTCGACATATGGAGATGCCTATCTTCTGCCTTTACCAGTAAAGATGTTCCCTATGAAGAGAAGAATGTCGTGACGTTGTAGAATACATATCGTAGTAACTTACGGTATGCCAACATTAGGCCTCTTCTTGAACCTTTTGTACGCCTACCCACCTGGCATAGTCAACCCATCTGGTAACAAAAGTTCATCAGTAAGTAACATTACTGCCCCAAGGTCAGGAGTTAAACTTCATGCGAGGTAAATATTACTCACAGTAAAGAACCCAAGAATGTGTTGCCCGTGCGAACAGCAAAGCATAGAGCACTCAATAGAAGCTTGTGGTTATGTAGTAGGGGCTCCAGCATCCTCTGTTCGATTACACCAGCCAAAATCTGGTACCTGGTGATGAATATGATTTTTGTTGTAAAAAATAATCCATTTAAAAAAGAAGCAACTGTTTATCTGCACAAGGATTGTTCATGTATAATCTCTACAACGGTTTGCCTGTTTGAAGAGAGAAACAGGTAAAACAATTTCAACGGTGGGGTAAGTCCTCCAGGTCCCTTAGTAACAAAACGACAGGACATTTATTCACACGTTTAGCATGACTTAAGTATGCTACAAATGGTGAGTAGTTTGAAGATAATGTTTACCTGAGGTTACTAGATACTGCCATGTATACACCATAAGCAACACTAGTTGACAAAACTGGAATATCTTCAACTTCGTCATCTAGCTCTTTGTCAACAGCCTTCCTTGCTTTTATCAGTGCATTCGTGACACCGGTGCCAATCTGGAAGGATTGAAGATTAGTATGCATAACAAATTGTCTTATGGATAGAAGGGTAAAAGGTGTCGATAGATTACTGCCATCCAAAACAGAAACGTATATCACTGATCTTTTTTATTTTTGGCAACAACACCTGCATAGTGAAACAATTGAACTAGCCACCCTAGGAAACCGATTATGAATGCCATTTTTTCCTCAATATATCCCACTTGTAAAGTTTTCATGCTTCAAATTTCAGTTTAGAACCAACTAGGAGCTACAGAAAATCAGTTAACTGTGAAAGAAATCCACATGAGTTAACAGTTACCCTGTTCTTTAAAAAGGTTAGATCTCAGCCTCAGTACTCTGCCAGTCTTTTGTGCAACATATACTTTGTCAGACTCACTAGAATTAAAACTTAACGACAGAGATAGGTAGACATAATGAAAACACCAGGACGCATTGGTTATTCCTGCCTTGCTGAAATGTTTTATTTAAAACTTCATGACAGGATTAAAACTTCATGACAGGATTCCTGCTCAAAGAAAATAAAAACAAATGCAAACCCTAACACAAATCAAAAGAGGTTGCTAACACATGATCATCACAATCATATGATGTAGCAGCAAAACAAAATGGCAAGCTTACCAGAGAAGCACTAGTTCCCACAGTGAAAAGCTTTGCACCATTTCTCTGCAAAGAAGCCACTAGCATTAGTTGATCAATATAGCACACTGAATAGACTGAGGCCACTATGAGTCCGACGGTCTAAGTATCATAATAACCACAACAAAAGAACTGCATACCAGAATAGCCCCTAGCCTCTGCAGAATTGAGTATGATCTTCCAGCCAAAGCAATCTGGAGAACAGTTGGCATGAAGTGTTTTTAGCAAAACATGGAGGATTCTAGGAAGAATGTTCTACTCAGATGAAAAGAGAGAAAGTTTAGGTTACTTGGAAAGCATTATCCGGGCAATTGTGGAAAAAATTAGCAATATGCCCAGCATTTGTTGCAAGTGGTGGTTGCAGAGATACAGTTGGAGCAGGAAGATAGACAAGCATGAAATCAGCAACTATTGCCATGACCTGTATGGGTAGTATCAGAAGCAACACAAAATTAGATTTCACAAATCATAACAAAAAAAAAACTTCAAATTTCATTATCCATTTACCTTCAGAAAGAAAGTAAAATTGAACCCATGGCATGAGATAAACTCTCTTCCTAAACTAAAATTAGGCTAGCAAAAATAGGTTCGCTCATGGTCAATAGCAACTAGAATCAGGTGTGGTACTCACATGGACTTAATAGTACAAACCTCAATGCTGAATTCAGTTAATCAACCACATAGTATCTATTAGTATTATTCAGAAATAGTTCCAAAACCAAACATCACCACATTATAAGATTTTTTTTTCAAGTCTATTTGGTTTAGATCACCAGCTTTATTAGTTCCTGATAACATAATACTCAGCATATGATTATTTTTTTTTTTAAAAAAAGGTCTATCAGCTAACGATCTTAGCGACTAATTTACAAAGCGAGGTCAATAAATAAATTCCATGATGTATATGTTATTAGAGTACTAGTCATCTGAACATGAAGCGGTATACCACATGGTAATTATTTGCTAAATAAGTGGTTGTTCTAGTAACACCCAATGTAAACCAAACAAGTGAAATCACATCGAGCTAGATTCTTTTGTTTTATTGTCAGAAATTGTTAGAAATACTTTCAGAAGCATACCACATCGGCAATCACGATATCAATCTCTTTGACAAAATTCTCCCTTCTCTTCTCATACTCCGCAGCAGTCTAAACAACGAGAGCAGCATGAATAAAACGTCAGATTGGCAACATAACACAGTGCAATGATGCCAAAATAGAAGTACGTAGAGGGAGAATTCGTCATGGGACCTTTGCGATGACGCCGACGCCGCACTCCATGGCAAGCTTAGCGAGGAAGAGATCGTCCGCCAGGAGGCGCTCCCTGAACCCCTGGAACTGGAGCAGCCACCGGAGCAGCGCCGAGCCCTCCATCTCAGCGAAGCGCCGCACGATCTCCCCCGTGACGCGGCCACCCTCCACGGCGGCCGCGAGGTCGGACGGCAGGCTCTCGAGCTTCCTCCCCAGTTGCGCGAGCACGAACAGCGCCTCCCTCCGGTTGTCGGGCGCGCCGCCATCCCCCTCGCCATCTCCGCCGCCATTGTTATTATTATCGTCGCCATCGTTATCTCCGCCCCCACCGTGGGAGAACGCGAGGGGCAGCGGAGGAAGTTGGGGACGGGGAATGCGGAGGCGGAGGCGGAGGGGAAGCGGGAGCGCGCGGGAGAAGGGGAGCGCGGAGAGGCGGCGGGACGCTTGGTGAGGGGATCGGAGACGGGGGAGGTGAAGCGGGGGCTGGGAGGAGACGCCGGAGAGGGACGAGGAGGAGGAGGAGGGCATTGCTGCGTAGTGGAAGGCCATGGCGGCGCGCGGTCTCGGGGGCTCTCGTCTCTCCTCTCGGCGCGGTCGGTGCAGTGCAGAGTTGGGGGTTTTTGGAGACGCGGATGCGAGGGGAAGCGGAGACCGGGAGACAGAGGGCGGAGGCAACGAGGTGGACGGGTGGAATGGTGGTGCGGCCGGCCGCCGAATGGTTGGAAACTTGGAATCCACGGGATTCGGCCGAGGGATTCTTGTGATTCCTCGTCAAGGTGGGCGGCGCCTGCCTGGGTTGGAGCCTAGAGCCTTGGTGGTGGTGGCGGCGGCGGAGTGCGTGCGTGCGCCGGTGGGACGTGACGCGCACTTCCCGTTGGATGTTGCCGTGACGACCGCGGCCCGTGGATTCTGAATTTCTTCGCTCCGATTCCGCGTCGCGTCAATGGGCTGACCCGGTGCAGTGGGCGTCGTGGCGCGCGGTGTTGTAGGGAGGGCATGATTTGATGGGCCTCGCACTGTTGTAGGACGACCCATATATATGTGGGCTGCCAACATTCATATGGGCCGGAAGCAAATTATGTGCCATGTTGAAAGCAAAGGGCCGTTATTTGGTTCAATGCCCAACCTACTGAACAAGTTTTCATATAGAGTTTGGTTGCATCAGTTGTGTTAGTTTTGGCAAAATTTGACACCAATTCAAACATCTAGCAGATACTATTTTAAATTGGCAAATATTTGGTAGGGCAAGTTTTGGTTATTTGGTATCAAACAGAAACAGCCCCAAGCAACAAATGATTTGAGGACCGTTTTAAATTCAGAAATTTCAAACGATTTTTGCAAGAAATTCACAACAAGTGGTTCATTTCATCGGAAGAAGAAAAATCGCATGTTTCAAACAAACCATGAACCCAGTTGGCTGGTCAGTCCATTTCTGCTACAGCATTATTTATCCAAAAGAGAGAGACCTGATGGCTAGGAGAATGGAGAAGGCAATTCGAGTTCGAAATTCAAATCAGGCCCTCAAAAAAAAAATCAAACAAGAGTTGGTAATTTATCTGGAAGATGCGGTTGGTTAAACTAAGGCTCTACTCCTGGACACATCACTCTCACCCCGAAAAGAATGAAAAGCCTACAGCATATGGACAAGGAACAACAAGACAGTCACAAGATCAGACAAAACCGCCTCGTTAAGTGTTACTGCTAGTGGCACTTCGATATGGGATTACTCTCTTGTCTGCATTTCAGTGAGAATTCTTGTTAAGTGATCCATGTTTTGTTCTTCATTTGAATTCACTCTTACGGCAGTGGTACCGAGAAATGGCAGTCATCCTCTCTTCCATTTCTCCTGTCGTTCTCGTGCTTCAGAAACCAACAGTTTTTGCCAGTAAGGACGTGTTTTTATGCGTAGGAATTCATCAGTTTGTGTATAGCTTCAAGACTTGCAGATGCCTCTGTCTCTGTGTTGCTTCGTATTTGTCGACTTTCATCAATTATTGCTGCAAAGTCTCTTTGTACAGATCTGGGCTATGAAAAAACATTAGAACGTGTGGTATACTCCATAGTAGCAGAACATACTGAGAGATCATCATCAATATTACCTGGCAACCGGGCATCAGTTTGTTTTGTTCACAGCGATTCAGCAAATTAAGGTGCTAATTGAGATGGCCCTAGACTTGATTTATCACCATTCACTGACAATATCTATGCACTAGCATATAAGTAGTCTACAACGCTAGTTTCTGACTTTCTGTTCATATGTTGTACACTACGTATAGGATACAGTTTGTAATTAGGAAAGGGTTCAACACAACGGCGCATACATCATTCAGCATTTCAGCTACCAAACCGTAAAGGGATGGGAAATAATCAGCTGAGGCAAAGGGGTTCGGAGTTTAATCTCCGACCCCCATTGGACGTGACCATCCTGTACAAGCAGTGCAGCTGGGTAGGGTCACATTCCAAATAATCTTTCCAGGTACGGGGCCAACAGTAAACTACCCAACTGACACGTCAAAAGAGTAAACTGACAGGTCAAAAAAAAAAAGGTGAAAGGCGGAAATCTGAACTGTGTGCCCACAAATTGTAAAATTTATGTTACAAGCAAAATCACATTTTGACATGTAGGAATAGTAGTATAGTAGTAACAAATTGGTTGCAGCTTACAAAAACTGTGCACTCACGGGGTCGCAGACTCGCAGTTCATTGGTAAGATGAGAATGACCTGCACGGCCTTATACAACGCATTGATGTGACATTTTTATTCCATGTGTTAGTTAAACTTGAAACCAAGTTGATTAATCGATTAGTTAATCCAGATTTAGCAGAAACATATATATAATATGACACCAGCAAAGAGCGATAGCTACCACAGTACTCGGTCAGTTTGTCACGTAGCACCCAATGTCCTGCACCAAAGGGAAAACGTACGCATGCAGCAATGAACATCTGTCCAATGCCAAGATCCAATCCTATCAATGGTGCCAAATCAACCTCCATTATTTTCTTTCCAAGACCATATCCAGGGCTCATGTGTGCGCGAGAGGATTAATTTATTTATCCACAAAACTTCTCAATTTCTCATGCTTTTTTGTGCAGTGGACCCCCGAGTTCACTCACACTTTAGCTGTGCACTCACATGCCTCATGCAGCTCCAAGTCATGGGCATCTCGTCAACCACAGGCTAAGCTAATGTGACAACTATGGCAGTATGGCACAAACAAATTAACTCCCAGATGGAACCGTGTCCATATGTTAGTAGTGTGGGCGCAATGCAACACGCCAACTTTGTTACAACTCAGACCAGTCACAAGTGAGCATATTTCCATGCGTTGCATGTACAGAATCCATCCAGAGCTGGCACCAATGGTCCAATGGCAGTATTAAGAACGGTTAGAAACGATGCAGCAGTAATGGGTCACGTACTTGCAGTAGCAGAGTAGTAGTAGAACTGTAGAAGTGTAGATCGAACAAGGCACCACGTAATAATAATGAGATTTATCTGACATCCAAAAGCAGAGACAAAAAAAGACCCTGAGAAAATTAGCACGGCAGGAACAGTTGTACGTACTACTATTACTGCCTACTGCTCAGACCTTTCAATTTTTGCACTAGGGAACACGTAGTACTTGCGGATGCATGCATGCAATGCAATGCAAGTGATCGATTCGATGATTTGGAATCATTAACCCTGTGGTTTAGTAGGAGTAATGATGTGGCGTCGTCAGATCGATCAGAATTCAGAAAGCTTCGATTCTGGCTGACGATGCAGCGACGGGGGCCTTGATGACCTGCAGGATCTGGACGACCTCGGCCATGGACGGGCGGTTGGATGGGATCTGCGACGTGCACACCATCCCGAGCTTGAGCACCGGCAGCACCTCCTCCTCCGGGAACTCGCCGATGCTCGGGTCGACGCACTCCAGCACGTTGCTGCCGCCGCCGTGGTCGAGGAGGACGCGGACCTGGTCGATGAGGATGACCACGTCGTCGTCGCCGTACTCGACGGCCCTCCGCCCCGTGACGAGCTCCAGGATGAGCACGCCGAAGCCGTAGATATCGCACTTCTCGTTGATCCGGAGGCTCTGGCACGCCAGCTCCGGCGCCACGTACCCCATCCCGCCCTGGAACCGGCTGCTCATCACGTGCTTGTCCAGCTTCGGCAGCAGCCGCGCCAGCCCGAAGTCGCCGACCATCGGGTTGCACTGCTCGTCGAGCAGGATGTTGCTCGGCTTCACGTTGTAGTGGATCATCGGCGGCCGGAACGACTGGTGCAGGTGCGCGAGCCCCCTCGCCGTGCCGGCCACGATGCGGAACCGCTCCGCCCATGTCAGCGGCGGGAACGCGCCGTCGCCGTTGCCGTGGAGCCGCGCCTCCAGGCTGCCGTGCGGCGCGTAGTCGGTGATGAGGAGCTGGAGCTGCGGCGTCCAGTAGTAGCCCTTGAGGGGGAGTAGGTTGGGGTGCCTCGCCTTCCCCAGGATGCGGACCTCGCGGTCGAAGTCGTCGCGGGACTCCACGATGCTCGCCGTCGCGAGCTTCTTGATGGCGACCACCCTGCCCTCGCCGACGGACGCGCGGTACACCGTCCCGAACACGCCGCGGCCGATCTCCGTCGCCTTGCTCAGCAGCGCGTCGGCGCCGCCCACGAAGTCCTCGGAACGGAGGCTGTTGCCCGGCCCGAACGTCACCATCTTGCCCGTGGCGAGCTTGCTGGACTTGGTCGAGCTTGACACGATGCTCTCCAGCTCCTTCTCCGGCGTCGTCGTCCCGCCGTCGCCGGCCCTCCGCCGCGCCGACATGTTGAGCAGGGTGATGACGATGACCCCGAGGATGATGAACACCGCCGCGCAGATGGCCACCATGGCGGACACGCTCAGGAACCGCCGTTTCCTCGGCGACGCCGGGCCGCGGCCGCTGGTCTCGAGGTTGTTGTCGCCGTCGCCGCCGTGCGGGTACTCGTTGGGGTCGAGCACGAGCGGCTTGGCCACGTTCATCCTGCACGGCTGCGTCACCAGCGGGCTGCAGATGCCGAGGTTGCCCTCCAGCGCGCTCGCGTCGAGGCTCTGGAACACGCCCGACGCCGGCAGCCGGCCTACGAGGCGGTTGTGCGAGACGTTCACCGCCAGGAGGCTCTCGATCCCGCCCAGCTGCTGCGGTATCTCGCCGCTCAGGTTGTTGTACTCCAGCCTCAGAATCTCCAGCTTCTTCAGCTCCGACATGCCCACCGGTATCGGCCCCGTCAAGCTGTTGTGCCCCAAGCTCCTGCCATGGCAAACCCGATGCATCGATCAAACGTGTCACGCGATTCGTCGTCTTCGTCTTCAACCTCAACGCAACGACGATATTGTAAATGTAATTAGCAATTTGTTGACTTACAGTAGGTAGAGGGACGAACAGTTGCCGATGTTGTCGGGGATGGGGCCGGCGAGGGAGTTGCCGTCGAGCTGGAGCACGGCGAGGCTGCCGGCCTCGCACAGGTCGCTCGGCATTGTCCCGTACAAGCCGCTGCTGCGGAGGTCGAGCACGGTGAGGTTGCGGAGAAGGCCGAGCTCCGGCGGCAGCTGGGTGCGGAGGTCGTTGCGGGACAGGTTGAGGTAGCGGAGGTTCATGAAGAGCGCCATCTCCGCCGGGATGCCGCCGGTGATCTGGTTGACGGAGAGGTCGAGCCATTGCAGGGTCTCCGCCAGCTTCGTCGAGCCCGACGGCAGGACGCCCGAGAGCGCGTTCGACGACATGTCGAGCGTCTCCAGCCCGACGTCGAACAGTGCATCCGGGATGCTGCCGCTGAGGTTGTTGGCCCTCAGGTGAAGCTCGGCGAGCTTCGTGCAGCCGGACATGGCGTCCGGGATGGCACCGGAGAGCTGGTTCTCTGACATGCTCAGGTACCTGAGGTCCTTGAGCTTCCCGAGCGAGTCCGGCAAGCGGCCGGTGAGCGCATTGTCGGAGAAATCGAGGTGCTGAAGCGCCGCCAAGTCGCCAAGCCAAGCAGGGACATCGCCGGAGAAGCGGTTGCCGGACGCGGCGAAGTAGACGAGCGAGCCGAGATGGGCGATAGAGTCAGGGAGCTGGCCGTCGAACGCGTTGGAGCTTATGTCGACGGTGCTGAGGTGAGGGCACAGGCCAATGTCGCTCGGGACGGCGCCGAAGAACCTGTTGCCGCTGAGGTCGATGGTCTTGAGGTTGTGGAGGTTGGCAATGCCGGTGGTGACGGTGCCGGAGAACTGGTTGCGGGAGAGGTCGAGGGCGCGCAGGCGCGAGAGCGGCCAGAGCGCGCCGGCGAAGTCCGGCGAGCCGGAGAGCTGGTTCCCGGACAGGTTGAGGTGGAGCAGGAAGGAGCTCTTGGAGAGGCCCTGCGGCAGCGGGCCGGAGAACTGGTTGCCGGAGAGCATGAGGAAGCGGACGGTGGCGGGGAACGTGGCGGGCAGCGGGCCGGAGAAGGCATTGCCGGTGAGGTCGAGGTAGCGGAGGGAGGCGAGGAGCGGGACGTCGCCGGGGAGCGGGCCGGAGAAGGCGTTGTAGGAGAGGTCGATGGAGCGGAGCGAGGCGAGCAGGGAGAGCCCCGGGGGGAGCTCGCCGGAGAGGTTGTTGCGGGCGACGGAGAGCGACTGGAGCGCGGCGAGGCGGTCGAGCCCCCGCGGCATGCGGCCGGAGAGGCCGAGCCCGTCGAGCGCGAGGCGGAGCACGCGCGACGTCGCCGGGTCGCACTCCACGTGCGCCCACCCGCACGGCGTCGCGTCGGACTCCGTCCACGTCGCCAGCGCGCCGGAGGGGTCCGACAGCGCCGACTTGAACACCACCAGCCCCAGCACCTCCTCGTTCACCGGCATCGGCATCGTACTGTCAGCCGCCGCCGCCACCACCAGCACGAACAGCAGTAACGCGATAGGCGTCGCCATTTCAGCAGTAACGAGGAGGAGGGGAGTGGAGCTGCAGATATGGTGGCGAGGCGAGGTGGTCGTGGGAGATCTAGTGCCAGCGGCTGCGTTGCATGGTGGTGGTGGGAGTGGAGAAGTGGACGCGGGGGGAGACGAGGAGGGAAATGGGACGCTGGTTGGATTGGCGTGCGTGGCGTGGGCGAGGCCCGTGAGGGGGGGTAGGTTGGACAGATAGAAAGCAACAAAAGAGCTCACGTTCCTCCGCCGCTGGGGTGGCTGCCGGATGGGGTCGCCGGCCACTCGGAATCCAACTCTCGCCGGAACGCGACACTGCACGGGAACTGAGGCTGTATCACTGTATCACTGACCGAGACCGACCGTGCACGCACGGGTTCAAATCAGGGATGCGTTGTTGCTCTCACCATCCATGCATCAGTTGTGATTTGTGGAAACTGGAGTGAAGCTTCCACTGCTCCACACCCTCAATTGGCGGATTGCATGAACACCAAACTGTAACAGCAGAGTACGCAGGGTTTCCTTTCCATGGTCAAATTATTTCATTCAGATCATGGGGGTACATATATATACCAGTATACATGTTGTGTTTTTACACTTCGATGACTTGTCACCGGTATCTACTCTCCCATGCTACTTCAGATGCTAGTGCACATCAGTATATGTTGCCTGCCACATCTACTGTTATACATTCATCATGGCACAGTGTATTCTCGATACTTTCTATTTCGATTCATTCTTCAGTCCCCAGTACTTACCCCAAATCTACACGCAGCAGCCTTCTAGTATATGTATATGTATATGTATATGTATATGGAATGGTAACAAGCAACAAACTCTGCTAGGTACATTTATCCGCTCGGTGTTAGCTGGACTCGTGGGAAACTCTTCTGATGGCCAGCTGAAACTCTCAACTCTGACACTGGACTGTATCCAGGAGCTGGGATCAATCACGCGGGCCGTCGAATGACTGGGACTTCCTCAGGTTCCAGTGGAGACCCTCGTGGATGCTGCGTAGGAAATCGGTTGTTGAATCCACCAGGCAAGCCGTGGGCACAGGCCATGGAGAAATGCTGCAGATGAGAGCATCCCCGGGTGACAGCAGCTTCCGATCTTTGCCATCGAATGATGCCCAAGCTTGGCCCCTGCTGTTATGTGGCACTTGTACGCGCAGGGTCACATATTCAGGCAGTATCAAAGGCCTGAATGACAGGGAATGCGGGCAGATCGGCGTGAATAGGATTCCTGGGACCTGCATATACCAGCACAACATTTGAGACCACCAAAATAGAGTCGACAAGTTATGTTGAGCAGCTGGACAAAGGAAATAGCAACATTTCATGATTGTAACTAGGCCTCAAAAGGTTAATTTATAGACATTGCTAATTTGCTACAAGAATTACAGGTAGTACAGGGTAGCCTATGTTTGTGAAACAGATCAGATTCTGGTGTTCAGTGCAACTTATCTAAACTTCTGAACCACATTACACAATTTTAGAACCAAGGGGAAAAAAGCTTCACGATTTATTGCAGAAATCTAAGGGGGTGTGATTAGGAAATGCCCAAGAAGATAATCCAATAAAATTAATCAGTAAATACTCAAGTGCTAAGGATGTATCATGCGATGTAGGGCATACCTGTGGATGAACCATGGATCCTCCAGCTGCCAATGAATATGCCGTGCTTCCAGATGTTGTTGATATGATCAGTCCATCCCCTTGTACACATGTAACGAAAGAACTATCACAGTAGCATTCCAAGTAGGTAAGGTAAGATGATATTCCACGGTCAATTGTGACTTCGTTTAACACTAAAATTGGCTCCTCAGTCTCAAGTTCATCCTTTGCTGCATCACGGATTACATGGCACTGTAGACGGTTTCTCAATGTGATGCTAAATGGTCCATTCAGCACATTGTCCAGACAATCACGATATTGCTCACTTGCTGAAAAGCATGTTAAGGAGGACAACATGGATAACACAAATGTTAACAGGAGAGCAGGGAGCTTCATGTGAGATTTATCGTCTAACAAGCAGGTTTCTTTTAGACCAAATCCAAACTTACTAAAAATGTAGATTGGATAGCAAAACAGTAAGAACCAGTCACTACACAAAACGATATCGAGAAAGCAGTCAACATCCATAATAAAAGGATACGGAAAGGTGTCATGAATCCCAGTGATCCTAGGGAGAAAGCAACAACCGGAGGAACTGGCCCTTTGAACAAAGACGCAGCCTGTTAAGAGATTGATTCACCATGTATTTAAATGTCAGCCCAGCAGAGCAATGTACAAAAACTAGTAACTAGTACAAATTGAGAAGCAATTATAGTTTCAAATGCAGGAATAATCAGTCGCCTAAATATGGAAGAACAAAGCAATAAATATCAGGTAAGTTGGTTTTGATAGCTAATTTGTACTAGAACCTTCCAACTTTTGATTTTGATAGGTCAGAATCAGAAAAGAACTCTGCCTAACTGTGAAGAAGCAATTCTCATGATAACTTATGCTGCAGGCACCGACAGACCTTCCATTTCAGCTGTCAGCCAATTCTACCCCACATATGCCATTAAACTAAGCAATATTGATTATTGACTAAATATATGGACCTTTGGAAAAAAAAAAAGGTTAATCCTCTAGTTGGTCTGATTCGATCAAAAGATACAGTGGTTGAGGCAGAACTCTAGACAAAGAATTGAATTTACTTACCCATAAAACAGTCCCATCACCACCAAGAGTTACAATGAGATCAACCTTTGTGTGCAACATCTTTTTCTCCTCATCTATCAGAATTATCTAATTAGTTGCACAGATAAGGGAGAGTGCTAGGTGAATGAATAGAACTACTTTACTCAAACAAGATGTCTAATCTTCCCATTTGATACAAAATACAACTTTATAATGTGTATCCAATTCAATGCCAAGAATGATTTGTACCGACATCTAGTACAAGGATATTACTTTATTGGGATGTGATTGGAATATTTCAGAAAATTCCATACAGAGGTAATAAACATCACAAATTCAAGCAGTAGAAGGGGATTTTTACCGAAATCTTTATTGAGATGTGATTGGATGATTTCATAAAAATCTAGACATAGGTAATAAACATCTCGAATTCAAGCAGTAATCAACTAATTCAGTTCTCATTGTAAATTTTGCCCCCATGTAAAACAAGATAGGATACATAAGGGTGATAAAGTAAAGCAAAAGCATGCCCGTACTATATACCCATGCCATTTCGGCAGTAATCAACTAATTTAGTTATCATGAAAGTTCTTTCATTTTTCAGAATATCAATGACAAGGAAAGGGTTCATAACTGAAACACCATTTTTTTTTCTCTTAAGCATATGAAGTATTTCAAAAGAAAAAATATGAATCAGCATGAAACTAATGTATTAAATCAATAGAAATGCCTTACCATCATCCCATGTTTGGATGAAATTGTAGTAGGAATCTTCTGTTAAGAGTTCCTTGCTAACACGTGGCTCTACAACAACATTTATCTTTTTATGTTCCTTAAGCCATCTGCAGAAAAATAAATAGTACATTTAGCAGTGCAAACACAATACTTAAAACGTGCATGCATCTGTCAGATATTTAGGGCATTTAAAATATAAAAATCAAAGAACACACCTGACCATTTCAGCACAAAGAACATGCACGGAGTTAGAATTAGGTTTGGTTATGAAAAGAACAGTTTGTGGCGAGGATTCCCATTTCAGCAAAATCTGAAATAAAAAAAATCGTTGTAACAGAAATAGATGTGCATAAGAGACGATTCATTGGTCTAGTTATTCCAGCTACTGGAGTGAAATAATTAGAATAATATTCTTGACTGTTCCAGCACAGGAGGACTAACCTGCTTGTTGCTGCGCTCTGCTGTTGTTATATCTCCCTTTTCAAATGATACAAAATCATGCTTGTGCTGGCCGTTTTTATCCCCATTGCATCCCCATGAAAGTCTAAATGATGCCTTTCTACTCACCAGCTTGTGACTAGATCGGGGGTTAGGACCAGGACTTTCATCCTGAAGAACCTCATGTGAACATATACCATGATTTCCACAACATCCCGCTTGATCAGATGCAGGCGTCTCCAGTGTTAGTTGGCTGGCCAACTTTTCTAATTCATTATTGGCACAACTGCCATAGCCTGCACAAGGTAGAATTCCAATTTAGATTTTTGGAGATAGCTCCTGGAATAGCAACTACGAATGTATACAAAACTAACCTTTGATTTTTCTCTGCTGTTTGTGTGCCATCTCTAATTCATATTTACGCCTCCACTCTTCCGCCTCAGCTTGAGCAGCAGCTTTCCCTTCTGCAACTCGTCGCAATGCTTTTGCAACAGCTTCAGTTTAAAAATAAACTATATTTATCAATATTTTGTTTTTTGAATGCAAGTGAAAGGACTGAAAGGTATATATAACTGTAGATAATCAGGAATTTGGTAGTGCCATGTAAAGCTTTTGTCTCCTTACTTCTCATAGCTTCTGAAAACTCAACAAGGTGTGCATCGGTTGACTTGATAGGAGTTTGAGCAAGGAATTCATAAGCTGCTTTCTCTGATTCTACTGAACTAACTGTTGAGCTAACTGTGGAGATGGACCCAGACCCAATTTCACTTTCATGTGAGGTCACAGTATCATGGTTTACTCTCTCATCAGAAACCTGCAATGCAAAGGAACTGGTAATAAGCTCTATAGTCTATCCCAACTGGCTTCAGATTTTCAAATGGAGCAATGGACTAAGCTTTAAACTTAACCTGAGAAATAAACCATCCCTTAACTCTTTGTTGGGCTTATTTTGACGCTAACTAGAAATTTTAAACTCGAACATTACATTAAAATTCGACCCATAGTCCCATACAATCAAGTACATGATCCAGTAACAGTAACTTCAAATTTGATGTCCAATACGCAATTACTCCCCACATTTCATATTATAAGTCGCTTTGACTGTTTTCCTAGTCAAACTTCGTTAAGTTTAACCAAGTTTATAGAAAAATATGGTAGTATTTTCAACACAAAACAAACATATTATCAAAATATATTCAATGTTAGATTTAATGAAACTAGTTTGCTGTTTTATATGTGACTATTTTTTTCTATAAACTTGGTCAAAGTTTGACTAGGAAAAAATCAAAGCACCTTATGATATGAAACAGAGGGATTACAAGACTACATAATGGTACTCTCCAAAATCGTCCAATTTCAAATATGGAAATTCCTAAAGGATTAGGCTTGCTAAAAACTGTGAGTTTAGGCCCAAGCATTTTTATCCGTTTTATGACCTATTTGGAAATTTTCTCACAATGTTTGCATGGCTCCCACGAGAACTCATGCCCAATGCCTGGAAACCAACCATTGAATTCTAGGAAAACGGGTCAAAACAAAATAAAGAAGAATGCACAATAAGGGTGCAGAGGCTCTACATGACCACCCAAAAAGAAAATCTGAATTCGTTTTGTGCTTGTGTGCGCAAGCTCTCTCCTTGCGCCTGCGTGCTCCTCTTTTTCTATTTTTATCTTGTACAATTTTCACAACTTGCTTTTAAAAAAATCAACGAAAAGGTAGGACCGTAGTGGTCTCCCCTCCCCCTCCCCCTCCCCCTCCCCCTCTCCCTCCCAAATAATAAAAAAGACAGAGTTGGACTCAACACAACGTGCCTTACAATGCGAAAGTCTATGGCCAAGTCTTCCCCCACAAAAATGGGGGGGACACGAGCTCATGACCTCTGGTCTTCAAGCTTGCCAATGATGAGGCAGAGCAATGGAACATTGTGAAACACATTGTTTTTGTGAAAGTAGCATGACTTCTAAGGACAATACCACACAGTACAGACTCCCCTAATGCTAAGCAAGCGATAGCAAAGAAGATGACTACGAGACGTGATGGAAATGGACACGCATCCTTGCGATAATCCAGTACCCAATCGAGAGCACGCACGTACCGGGTCGACCAATGATCTGAAGCTTGGGGCAGTTGGGATTGGGATGGGCGCTGGGCTAAGGCTCCGGAACCTGGAATCCGACCGCGCGAACCGAATTCCCTCCGAGGATGCCAGCTTCTGGCACACAGAGAGAAACCAAACCACCCATCAGCGAACCCCAAAAACAGATTTCAGAACCACCCTCCCCGAAATGCTCAATTCGAAGCCGCAGCCACGCAGATTGCCAAAACCCGCGGTTACCTTGTGCGGAAGCTCGTCGAGCGACATGGCGGCGCGATCCGGCGGTTGGCTCACCCTCACCTCGTCGTCGTCGCACCAAAAAGGAAATTCCGGCCTCGGCTCGGGTTGGGTTTGGGGAGGGGAGGGGAGGGAGAGAGGTGGGTGGTGGACTGGTGGTTGGGTGGTGAGAGGCGACGCCGACGCGAGGCGACGCTGTTGAGGAGGAGGAGCACCACCTCCACCTCCTCCCCCCGATTCGGTTATTTATCGGCGAAGCAGGAGGCCACCGGGAGTTGACACCAACGGGGGGCTGACAGGTGGGGCCAGGGGGTGGGTGGGTCCCGGTCGCAGTGAGGCTACGACTGACGCGTGCGCTGATGCCGCTTTGGGTTGGGGTGTGGGGTGTGCGTGGCGTGTGGAGCCGAGCGCTTTCGTGGTTACTGCTGCCGGCAAGCAGCAAGCTAAACCGGTTTGTTTGGTTGGTTGGTTGGTGGGTCTGTTCCCTTTCCTTTTCCCGTTCCCGTTTTCATCCCATCATATACCAGAATATTTCTGTCACTTGGTTAGTTATTATTTCAATTTTGAAATTTTATAACTTAATATTATCTTAAACACCAGTTGTTTCAGTAGATATCTTGTTTGATTTCATATAAGAAAAAAAAGGGTAATGTTACCTCTTCTCTATAGGTATTTATAGCAGGAGAGAGCCGTACCTCGAGATTCTTATATTTTACACTATTTTTCTTAAAATTATCCTAGAAAAACTTGTAGCTCTAATATCTTTTTAAGGACTACAAAATCATTAAAACCGGTAAACATATTTTATAGTACTTTGCGGAATCCTTTGGTTTGCATTTCAGCAGCGTGGAATCGATAGTCACTCGGCGTGCCCCTTTTGCGTTTAGGCCATTTCCAACCCAATGACTAGGATAGTGTCTATAGCATTAAATAAGCTACCACCTAGGATGAAAAATGATGTGGCAAGTGAATAAATGAGAAAAGAGAAGGAAACAATGGTTTCTACACAATATCCAAGGCATCATGTGAGATAAATAGCATTAAATCTAAGTATGGAATAGTGGTATTTGCATTGGAAGAGTAGTGTCTAGTACTAGTTTCTTGATGATGTGGAGTTTATGGAAACTATGTCTAGTGTCATGGGTTGGGAATGGCCTTAGGATCTTGAGACGGTGAAACACATCCTCCTCGACTATGTGTTTGCTCGGCAGGTCTGGTTGCGTGTGCTATCGCCTCCCTGGCTGGGCTGCTATCTCTTCCCCATGGCAGCTGGTTCCAGAATTGGTGGCTGTCCTTCAGGGCCTGCTTAGTTGAGCATCTCCATGCTGGCTTTGACTTCCTAGTGCTCTTGATCGCTTGGCAGTTGTGGAAGGAACGAAACACTAGGGTTTTCGACTCTGCGCTCTCTTCAATCTCAGTGGTTCTGAAAATCCATCCACTCAGAGGGTCATACGTGGTCTTTAACTAGCATTGCCGCTTTTGGAGACTTGTTGGGAGTGTAGCGTGGCTCGGGCCCTTCCTGCTACTTGGAGTTTGTGTTTAGCTGCCGTAGTTTTATAAGCTTCAGCTTTTTATTTTACTTTTTCTCTCTTCTCCTGGCATAAGCCGGTCTAGCTAATTGTGTTGTGTAACTATAACTCTTTTCTTCTAATATATTGACGTGCGATTTTTTTGCGCGTTCGCGGAAAAAAAATGTTCCAAGATGAGAGACAACATTTTTACATAGCTGCGTAGTAAGTATATTTCGTTGGCTTATGTTAGATTTGCATCGGATCTGAAGCTTTAGAATTCTCTTGTCTCGACCAATATTCCGTGTATAAAGATACCCTTGACGAGTACAGTGACTTGCCTTTGTATTTTGGGGCACTCAAAGTTGCTTTCATTCTGAACTAGCGTTGGATTAGGTAGCCACCAAACGTACAAGTATACATCTCAGTCGTTATCTGAAAAATTCATCAGTGAAGCTGGGAGTATTCGTCAAATGTCAAATGACATGAACCGCTAAAAGAAGCTACATTTCCACTGATTTGAACTTGCCCCATTGATAGCGACAACCAAGAAAGAATTCATGTCTCAGGATGCTTATTTCTAAAGACTTGACTGACAAATTCTATGTGTGTTCTTTTTTTTGCAAAAAATATGTATTGCATTCATGATCCATTGATGCACATTTCTCCATGAAATTTAACAAGATTACCACCCATTATCTCCAAAAAGAAAAAAAATCACCAGTAGCAGTCAACAGCTGAAAATATCAGAACACCATTATATATATTTATATTGCAAAGAGGCAGGCGTAATATTGAAAAGCAATAGTATATGGCAGAGTCTTGGTCGTCGGCTACGAAAGGTCGCCGCGGACAAAATCTTGTGCGATTGCAGTATAGTGGGGGAGTGGTTGGCATGGCAACAACATGCATGCGAATGCGCAGGTATGAGTGTATGACCGCCCCAAGTCTTGGCCACTCCAGGGACATGAAAAATGAGCAGTTACAATTCGCTTGGACTCGCTGAAAAGTAACGAGCTTTTGTTAAGCTTTGCTCGAATTCAGGCGCATCAGAACAAAAGCGTTTCAGACCAGAGACACACGACTGTTCAAAGTTAAATTTTTTTCTTCAGCGAATCGACTGTTCAAAGTTGAGAGTCCAAGCCGTCCTTCAAGCACAGTTCCAGTTGATTTCTGGAAACAAGAAAGGTAGCCATTGTTGTATTCCAGTCTTCAACAAGGGTAGCCCAGGAAAGTAGTCGAAATGTGAGATAGGGGGGTGTTTAGACCTAGGTATGTAAAGTTTTAGCGTGTTACATCAGTTATTTATATAAGGTGTTGTATAGTATGTTCGGGTACTAATTAAAAAAACTAATTACAGAATCCGTCAGTAAGCCACGAGATGAATTTATTAAGCCTAATTAATCCGTCATTAGCAATGTTTATTGTAGCACCACATTGTCAAATCGTGGAGCAATTAGGCTTAAAAGATTCGTTCCGCAAATTAGTCGTAATCTGTGTAATTAGTTGTTTTAAACCTATATTTAATACTTTATACATGTGTTCAAACGTTCGATTTTATAAAGTAAAATTTTTATGTGGGAAGTAAACATGGCATATAGATGACGCTGACTGCTGCATTGTTTCCGTTGCTTACGATACTCTCAACCACCAGGAAGCGATGGTGTGTTTCTTACTACTATACCCACATGATGGGTACGCCGCGTGTTACCAGTCAGGGGCAGATCGAGGAGGACGACGGTGTCAACGCGAAGAAGGGTGAGGAGGTTTGGGTTGGGCGGCGCGGTGAGAAACGGGGTGGAGGTCGTGCAGGCACGGCTTCGGCTTTCTGACTTTGGGCGGTTGGCAGCAGAAAAGAAGAAAACGCCGCATTTGGTGTGGTGTTGGTGGTCAGCCGCGCGCGCGAGACGCGTCCGTTGAAGCGTCCCTCCAAAGAAGAACGCAGCCGTTGCCGCCAGCAAAGTCAGCCGATCGCGCGAGCCCAACACACATGTACGATCGCGCTCGCGCACGGGAGACCGGAGACTGCGGAAAATGCGTTGCGATCGGAGATGGGACCGAATCGGGCGGATCGAATCGCGGAGGCGCGCGCGCACGCGGCGCGGCGGCTCGATCTGGCCGGGCGGGGGTAGGTGGTTGGTGGTTCCGCTCCGATAGACCTGCGTACGTCTCGCGTGCACGCGACAAGTCCCCATGATCGTCAAGCGCAGCAGATTTTGCGGTCACGAGTACTAGCATGCGGCGTTTCTCTTCCACCGGCAGGCGCAACCAAACCCAACCCCCACCGGCCGGCACAACCCAACCCCAGCCACGTTTTTCACCCGCTAGATTATTACTACCCCCATCTTTTTCACAACTATATACTATACTATATACTCCCTCCGTATACATTATTTTAATGTATGACGCCGTTGATTTTTTAACCAACGTTTGACCATTCGTCTTATTCAATTTTTTTATATAAATATAAAAATACTTATGTCATACTTAAAGAACATTTGATGATAAATTAAGTCACAATAAAATAAATGATAATTACATAAATTTTTTAAATAAGACGAAAGGTCAAACGTTTATCAAAAAGTCAACGACGTCATACATTAAAATACGGAGGGAGTATTACTTACGCAACATAGAAGTGATTGACAAGAGATGTACTTTACAGTGCATTAGCAAGGAGTATGTGATTTTGACCCTAAGTTACCATGTTCAAATCCCATCACACTTACAATTTTTCTTAAAAAATATTTGGAGTAACGTCTCTTTCTCTAAATCTCATTTTTTTAAGTAACTGACAAAAATATTTAGAGTAAGAATCATACTAATAAGGTACATGCACGCACGCTACGTGGTGGAGAATCAGATTCGGTGCAGACTTGTCAGTTGTTATATGATCAACACTAGCCTCGTCGACGGTCGTTATACATCTGTCCCAAATCTACCAATTCAGCAGTGAAGCGCTCAAGACCGGAAGAGGACTGGTCGTCGACTGGACGTTGGACGAGGTACCATCGTCAGGTTAGATGGCGGTTGGCTTCGCCTCTCCTCACCTGTTCTTTTCCCCAAGTATTTCCGGTTCATCTTGGAGCTCATGGAAAATACTCCCTCCGTATTTTATTTTAACGTATGACGCCATTGATTTTTTGACAAACGACCTTTCGTCTTATTTAAAAAATTTATGTTATTATCATTTATTTTATTGTGACTTGATTTATCATCAAATGTTCTTTAAGTATGACATAAGTATTTTTATATTTGCATAAAAAATTTAAATAAGACAAATGGTCAAATGTTAGTTAAAAAGTCAACGGTATCATACATTAAAATGCGGAGAGAGTAACATAGAATCAGTCAATGGATGGTAGTAGTAGATAGGTCCAAGGACTAACATGAGCTCTCGGAACTGACAATGACCAATAATAACAGATCCATTGTATTGTCGTTACGTGCCACCTGCCAATGGATTAGACATGGGAAAAAAGGCATCATTAGTATTAGGAATACTAGAATTACTGCATATCGATTTCCCTAACCACGTAGTGCTTACAACACTTCAGTGAGTTGGTGTGTGATCAGCTTAGATTGAATCATCCTACTTATTTGTGAGCAACTTGCTGGTGCACTAGCTATCTTGTGTTAGTAACTAGTAGTACGTAGTACACTAAACATTCACTGGTTCAACCAATACAGAGAAATGCCTTTGTTTGACTATATTCATATTCAGAGGGTCGTAACTGTTTACTGGCTGGCATAGCACGAGCTCTAACCAATAACCACTCTGACCGTTCACAACGGTCAAGAACACAAGTAATCTGTGTCAACTAAAGTTTAAAGGGAGGAGACCAAAACAGAGACATTTTTTTTTCTTTTAGAAAAACCGAGTTGGTCCAGAAGGGTGAGGTGGTAAGCTTTTTAGTCAGAACTTACACCTTACATTTTTACAACTATTATTTTTAACTCAGTTTTGTAGAACAAATCTTCAATTCAAACTGCCGAGCTGATATGATAAAATCGAAAATGACCCTGCCCAATGTGGAGCAAATCAAAGAGGGAAACAGCTTGTTTGTAGTCAGTGTATAACTACAAAAGAAAGTATAATAAATTGCTTGTGTAATTTTCATATGATTAAATTTTTAAAAAGCATATAATCATTAGTCGTTTTGACCAGCAAGTGAATATCAGCATCCATGAACCTACATGTTCAACCAAATCAACAATTCAACGCACAAGTGAACCATTAACAAGACAAAAACATACCTTGAGCCTTTGAGCACCTCACGTAAGCATTGTTGCACTTGTAGACAGAATGATAAGACAGTGTTGTAGCTGCAATCCCACATTCTAAAGGCTACTAAACTCCTCAGCTTCAAACATAGATTTTAGGAAAGATGTGTAGCGAATTGATGAACTTAAATAGGGCTGCCTTTTGGTGAAGAAAGCTTTGGGTGAGGATGCTACACTAGTATCTAGCTCCGGCCTTAAGGATGCTATACGAGTTTCTGATGCTTTAAAAAATGGAAATAGCAATAAGGGACTGTTTTCATCATCCCATTTAAGATTGTCCCACCATGTTTTCTCCCCCATGACACTCTTTAATTTGACAATTGCATGCCCAAAAGGCAGCCTTCTCAGCTTCGGACAAGCAAACACATCAAAGTATTCCAAAGAAGGAAGGTCTAGGCTAAAGTTACAGAAGTTTTCCAAGCTTGGCAACGAATTCAATTGCAAAATTCTCAGTCGTCGAAATCCCTGGATTGGCATTTCATCTTGTACTTCAGTATTGATTTTATTCTTTATATGGACTAGCTGTTTCATTTTATTGCAGAAAGACACATCCAATTGCTCCAGGTGCGGTAGTTTCAGAATGCAGGACATGTCCATCAGTTGATGGGCTTTCCCTACATAAAGGACACGAAGGTTCTGAATATGCCCCATACTAATCTTCTCAATTCTTGGAAGATCCCAAAAGGTGAGAAACTCTAGCCTCGGAAGATGATCTCCATAACACTGTGGCTTGTTTGTGACAGAGAACTCCTTTAATTCTGAACAGTCCGTTATATTAAGAACAAGGACACTATCTGGTATAGTGAGCGCAAGAGATGTCTCGCCACTCAATTTATATAGACCAAGCAATCTCATGTGACTTCCATGAATATCAAGGAGCTTCTTCAAGGTACTCACTTTCTTGATTGTTATTCCCAGAGCTTTTAGTTCTCTAGTTAAGCAAGATAACTCTTCTATTCTAAACTCATCATAATCCATGTGACTTCTTGAATGAAACCCCTCTTCACAGCCAGCATACCTGCTACCATATAAGTCCAACACTTGTAGCTTTGATAAATTTGGAATAACACCATAGGGTATCTTCTCCAAGAAATCCATGTAGCTCAAATTTAGGTACTTCAACTTTGTTAATTGGCCAATCGCCACAGGCAATGATTTAATGAGTGTTTGGTTCAGTTTGAGACATTGGAGTTCAACTAATGCGCCGATTTCTTCTGGAAGTTCTTTGATGGGAATCCAAGACAAGTCCAAGTATGTAACAGACGATAAGCATTTAAAAAGAGAAGGTGGGATCACATTCAACCAAAAGTTTTGCTGCAGTGACAGATATTGGAGATTGTAACAGCTGATAGCATGAGGAAGTTCACTGATATAATTGCACATGAGCGATATCTTTCTGGCTGACCTCCATTTCTCAATATCCCTGCTATCAATTTTATGAATTCCAACCCCTGCCTGAACAATCCAATTCATGCTTTGGTCAACACAGCCAGAAGATATTGACAGTGCCATATCTCGGATAATGTCATGTATTCTCACCTCCCTATCTTCCAAGTAGCCAGCCTCCAATAAGCAAGCATTTTTCAAGTACTCAATGATGGAGTGGCCCTTGTCATATGCTTCCTCTATAGTATCATACTCTATCAAACCCATCCCCATCCAACAGTCTATCAGTGCAACTTTCCAAATTGAGTAGCCTTCAGGCCACAGAGAACAGCATAAGAAACAATATTTGATCTGTTTATCCTGCAGATAATCATAACTTAATTTTAGCCTAGTGTATATGTGACTAGTATTTCCCATATTTGGGATCTCATGAATGCGGGACTTCTTCAGATATGACAGTGCAAGTGCCCATTCATGACGAGTCCTCTTTGTGGACATTGCACGACCAAGAGTTGCAAGAGCAAGGGGCAAACCCCCACATTCTTCTGCAACTTCCTTTGCTAGGCTTTCAATCCTAACATCTGAACTAATAACTTCTTCTGTTGCTTTTTCTTTGAATAATCGCCAAGCTTTTTCTTGGTCCAAGCATTCCATGAAGATCGTCTTGTGAGCTCCCATATGCCCACAAACACTCTCAGAACGTGTTGCCAGAACTACTTTCTGCTTATTTAGGCCATTAGGATATGGAATGCCAGCTTCAGCTAAATCAAAATAACCCCATAAATCATCTATCAGAAGTAAGAATTTCTTTCTCCTTAAAAAACTTAACAAAAATGAAGCCCGTATATTAATGCTACAACCTGGTTTCAGGAACAGCCCGATCCTTTCAGCAATATCTGCTTGAAGCTGACCTATTCCACTGGCTGTAGATGCCACGACATAAACAACAAGGTCGAATCCATAATTTTCTTTGGTTACACCTAAGAAGTGATTGTTGATTTTTCTGAGCAAGGTGGTCTTACCAACTCCTCCCATTCCCCATATCCCTAAAATTCCAACATTGTCATCTTTGAGGTACTGCAGAACTTCTTTCAAATTACACTCTGTTTCTTCAGTTGAAGGTATGGTGGGCACTTCTTGCACGAAATATGGTGGTACCTCAAATGATACCTCTTTGAATGCACCTTTTTCATGCAACATTTCAGCTTCCTTCAGTTTCTTCGCAGCCTGCATGCCAATTTCGTACTTTGACCAATAACTGAATAATTGCTTTCTCTTCCTCTGCACATTTTTTATCTCATTCACCTCAGTTTCCATCGCTGCTACCTTTTGTAGCCATTCTGTAACTTCAGGATTACATGTTTCTTGCTTCCCCTCAGAGATACTAAGCCGGATTTGGATTTCATTTTTCCTAACTTCTAGGTTTTTGATAGTGTTGTCCAGCTTTCCAATATTTTCTTCCATCTCTATTAGATATCTGAGGCGTGCGACCAAAGGATTCCATAAGTGGGATGCCAAAGTACTAGATATGGAATCAATCAGCATTGGAACATACATGTGTAACAGGAAAACGAGGTGACAAATAGGGCAATGTTTTGAACCAGCTGTTGCTTCAATTAACGAGACAAAGGATGTCGAAATTGGGAGCTGAACTGCATATGAGAAAGTGCAATTTATAATAAGTGTGCGAATATGCATGTCTTTATGCCTGTACTTTCTACCATGTACACATAATTTGAACAGGCATGTAAAGCCCAATACATGTTGTACTCTTTTTTTAATCCCTGTAGTAAAGCACTAAAATTATGTATCTTATTTCTGATATATGTAGTTCAACCTAGACGACAAATCGAAGTTAAAGATTTATATGATGAATATTTTATTGAAGCTATAAAACTATTTTAGGATGAAATCCTACAAAAACAGGAAGAAGATCATTATAGTCATCATGTCATCAGCATCCTTAATAAGTTGATGTCATCTATTTCCATAACTTACTAGTAATTCCAGTTAAACCTAAATAGGAGAAGCCAAGCACTGCTATGCGCCAACAACACCAGATTGAATGACCTCCTTCGGTCATTCCGGCAAAAAAAAACCTAAATAGGAACAGATAGAGCTAAAAGATCATATTGATATTGACTAGGGAACCTAAAACTTCATCAGCAATTGATAGGGCACATGAAAGGCGTCTCAACGCACATTATACACCTATCTTGAATGCATGGGTGATGAGATGTCAAGTGGACGTTGTGAAGCAAAATCAAGAGAAGAACAGATGGCACGACAATTTGTCAGATCAATTATGCATCGTCCTAATAAAAATATTCAGAATCAAATTGGTCACCCAAAGAGGAAACGAAAGGGATATCAGTACTTACAGTCACGGATAGAAGGTCTCGACACGACGAGAGGATGCTGAATTAGGCCACTAGAGGAGATCTCAGCACAATGTGGCCATCAGCTTAGCTCGAGCTGCAAGAGAAGTTTCAGGAAACAGGGAAAGAGAGGCAGACCGTAGACACTGTACAGGAAGGAAACCACAAAATGGTTGCGTGATTTAGTTGTGATTCGGAGGGGGGGAACTTCACTGGGAATTGCAGACACGGCGACATTCCCAGCAGGATCTTCAGTCGAAATTCCCAGCGTTGACTTGGCGGAAAACTGCCCCCTGCTAGTCTGCTACCTGCTTGCGCTGACCTAGTTTGCGTCGACGAGCTGCAACGACCACCCCGATTTCGCCAACGGCGACTTCGCGAGGCTTCAGAACGGCCATCAGATCTCATCAGGCAAAGGCTAGGTGGCAAAATGGGCCGGGCCTTCCCGTGCCGGCCCAGTCAAGCCCGTTTGGACATGGGCCATGCTGACACGACCCAAGGAACGAATGAATCGAGGAAGCCACTAGCTCAGGGCGGAGGAAGCGGTGGTGGTGGTGGCCGCGGCGCTCGCCGACTTAGGCCTACAAGGCAGCACGGTGGTGCGGCCAGCCCCATCCACGGGCATAGTAGTCGAGCACGTCAGAGACTCTCCGTCTAAGGGCAGGGGAAGGGTGACGGTGGCCGAACCATCGCCAATGCCCTATCTATGGTCCACGGCGCACCAGTCCACCACCATCCTGAACAATACATATATTTATATTATATTCAGTTTTATTGTGTCACATCAGATATTATATAGGCTGTTTAGATATTAATAAAAAAACTAATTACAAAATTAGTCATTAAACCGCGAGACGAATTTATTAAGCCTAATTAATCCATCACCTTTGCATTTGCTGTATATAACGATAAAGCAATATAATACTCCCTTTGTTTCATAAGTTAATAATTTGCAGGATTCAATTTTTGCGCGTGTAAGGAACATGCACGTGAAAAAGGAAGTAAAAAATTTAAGAAAAAAGAAAGAAAATATCTCACGTTAAGACCTTTTGTTTAATCGATAAGAGATAAGGAATGGAGGAGATTGAGAGAACAACACCACATTATAATATGGATGAGTCTACGGTGGAAAAAAAATAAACCGAATTCCCTTAATAGGGGTTTTCAAAATATATGCGGTTTTTTTTCTGCAACATTAGATATATATATAGTGAAACATTGTGAGTACATTATGTGAAACATTTTTTGTGGAAAAAAAACCAAATTCCTTAATATATGGTTTCTAAAATATGTGGGTGATTTGTTGCAATGAAGTTGTGTGTGGATAAGTGGCAGATGGGGACATGGGATATGTGGTGGGGCCCAGGTGCACATGTGATGGGGGGAGGGGGAGCGACCGATTTTTTTCCCCTCCTATCGTGCGTCCGTCGTTGAGTATTCTCGTTATAACATATGTGGAATAAATACTTTTTAAATCCCAGCAAGTATAATAACATATTATAAGTAGCTATAAGCACATATGGAGGAGATAAAAGATGAGAGAGAAGATCCGTCCCAAAAAAACTCAACTCTTGGAGTTTGAATTTTATCAAAAAAAACCAACTTCTACCATCCTACCTACCCTCAGCACGTAAAATGAAAAATTTTATTCCTTTGGTACCCTTTACCTACCTATCACCATTACTATTTTTTTTAATAATGAGGGATATTTTAGCCATTTTCACTTTTCGCTAATTTTATATTGGGATGCTAGGGTTGGATTTTATATGGGACAAAGGGAGTACATATTTGTAACCAGTAAGCTGTCACACGGACTATAATATGTTGTGTGTATATACACATATATATATATATATATATTATTAATGACGTAGTATGTCTGTATAAATTGGTTATTAAATTAATTATAGATAATTTGAAACTGGTAGTCGACTGTGCTATTAATCTTGTTCTTATCCCCTCGTAGGGGATTAAACGAACCAGGCTTTAAGGGAAAAAAGAAAAATAGAAAACCCTTTTGGTCGTGAACTGTGTCGTCTAGCCTCCCACTAATCCCGGTGCCTTCTTGATCCCACCGATCCCCGTGCTTTCTTCTCTTCGGCATCGCCACGAAGCGGAGGGTGCCATCGCAGCAGCCATCGCCGACGAGCGGCTCACGGTCACTGCGGCCTCGGCAACGTCCGGCGATCGTCGTCGATCCTTACCTTACTCCCTCACGCCCCCTAGGTATGAAGCCGCCGTACTCCAACCCAACTTCTATCGCCTTTGAAACCCTAGGCAGGTAGGCGGTTGCTTTGCCTTCGGTGCGGTTGTTGTGCTGACTCTCTCCTCGCCCTCGCCCTCGCCCTCGCCCTCACCCTCGTCGCCGGCGATTCCTCCGCCGTACTCCAACCCTAGCTGTCGCCTTTGAAACCCTAAGTAGGCACCTAATTAAGTGCTAACTCTTTCTGAATGTAATATCACAAATCTTTCCCAACTAATTCAGTAGCATTCGGTTAAGCCCAACACCATACAGTTGTTGGTACTGAAACTTTTTTCCCCCTTTTCCGTTATCTTCAGAAGTAACAATCAGTCAGTTACTTCAGTAACCTGACACTTGTGTTCTGATTGCCTGATCCAAGTTGTGATCTTAGTTATCTGCTTCTTAGCTTGTGAATACGAGTAAGTAGTAGTAAAATTGGTGTGTTTTGGTAGATTTTGCTTGTAATTCCTAGCGGTTGGTAACTTGGTATATTCATAATTCGGCTAAGGTTTGATAAAAGCTGCAGTGCTGCACATCAGCCTTTTTTTCCCTGTGCACATTTGCTTTTCTTGTGTTTATGCTACTTGCTTGATTTATTGCTATTGTTCCTTTGCTCCTGGAGGTGGCCAGGGGTAGCCTGCCTGCCTGCCTCATTCATGTTTTCTATCATTTAGTGGCTATTCGCTTTGAAGAAATTAATGATTTATGCAGCTGTTCCTTTAAATAATTATTGGTTAATCCCTTGAATTTATAGCTGTCTCCTCGAGAAGAATCCTGCTTAAGTTGATTTACCTCCGGGTGTTTACGGTCTTTCAAATTGCTAAGCATAATCTTGAACTTTCCAAGAAAAAAAACAGGCCTGCATTAACTAGTGCCAGGGCAGCAATAATGGATTTGTGCGACGACACTCATTTCCCATGGGAGGTAATTTTTTTAAAACCAGAATCAGCCAAGCGCCAAATTTATGATAATTATTCTTCGCATATGTATAATTTTGTTCCTTGCAGGGGTCCCATACTATTGTTGGCAGCAAGCGGAAAGCTAAGGATTTAATGGCAAAAATCTGAACTTGTTTAATGGAACTTATAAGATGGTGGAAACCACAGTTGATGTTATGATAAGAAAAGGAACAAACATGAGACTCGAAAGCTACGAGTTTTTGAGTGATTTCAAGCATGGCAACGCTGTGGTACTCCTGGACTACACAGAGTCCGGAAACAAGGGGAGTTTCATCGTCACACAAGTTGATGGGTCATTCACTGCCTGGTTTGAAACAGGTGGAAAAGAGCTCTGCTTTGACTCATCTGGTCATATTACTCAGTTATTTAAAGACATGATTGTGTGAGTATCTTTATTGTTGTCCATATTTTTAACTTTCTTCTTGTTATGTTCTCTGAAATCATTTTTATTTGTGTGAAGCGATTTTTACGATCTGACCTGGAGTTTGCACAAGAGGCACTTAGTCATGCAGAATTTTGTAAAGGAAAATATATACGTCAAAATCTTTGATGGCGTACCCAAACTTATGATTCTACTAACTGAAGGTATATATTTGTTGCTAGTAACTTAATGGAAGTTCACAGTTTTTTTTTTATATATAAACAATGGCAATATAACTTGTACACTGGATTGAAAATGCGATTTAAATTTTGTACAGTTAAATTGGTTGATCAGCTAGGGCCATTCAAACAGGACTGGAGTCATGTCCAAGGCCTCATGACTTGGTGTAAAGAACAATCTGGTTTAAAAATGGACTTTCTTACCAAGAGTTTCTATGATTTCATCGGATCTACCGACTGCACAGTAATCAAGCTGAGAAACTACCCTGATGATTGGGATGAAAAAAAGAAAGGTGATTATTTGCTCACACTCGCAGAAGTAAACCACGGAGTTCTTAAAGATAAGTTGAAGAGTAGGGATGATTTTCATTGGCCGTTTGTGAAGCTGCCTAAGCTGGAGCAGAACTTACCACCAATGTTACAGCAAATTCTTAGTGGGGAGAGACAGATGAAAAGAAAGTTCGACGTGACATTCTTTTGTGATTATATCAACCTCTTGAGAAACTCCTACAAGAAATTCAATGAATTACCAGAAAATGTTAAGGTAATTGCTTAAGATGTTTCCAGATTGAATAATACCTTCTTTTACTGCAGGATTTGTTGTATTCAAACATCTTATGTTTTGACAGGCTTTATGCATAAACCAGGATGGCTTCATTAAACTGATAGATGGGTGGTCTCCTGAGTTTTGGACCAAGATCTACGAGAAAATTGGTAAAAACAGTCTGTGCCTTTGGTTTTAGGCCTTCGTTTGACTGTGCTCTTTTTGGAATAGGGGATTTATGACGGTGTTCTCTTTTTGCAGGGTGGCCAGATTATAATATCTGGAAGTGGCCTTGTAAAAAATAGCTTTAGTGCTTTGCATTTGACCAGTGAGTACTGCATTAATACTTAATGTATGATTCCTGTACGCTTTCAGTTCAAGATATAACCTTAGTTATCATTGTTCTATGTTTGAGTACCTTATTAGATTGCTGCATTTATATAGCTTGTTTGGGATATGGATTTCCATCCCTCAAGGGGATGTCCCCTCGTTGATTGTATGTCATCTAAATAGTTATAAAAAAATTTAAAAAAATTGACAACATAGATTAATATGAAATATATCATGAGAACTGTGGTGCTCAATTGTTAAGAGGTAATGATCTCCTTGTGAGGGCTAATTTTGTGCCGGTTTGGTCGTTGCTGTGTAGTGGTAGGAGGTTGTGGGTGGCAAGCTGTTATGAAACTCAGATGTTTTTTTTCTTCCTTTTCAGTCTTTTGTATCAGACTCTGTAATTCCTGCTTCAGGTCCTTGATCTAAAAAAAAAGTTCAATGGGCTTTGGAAAAATCTAATACTTTCTCCGTTTCACAATGTAAGTCATTCTAGCATTTTCTATATTCATATTGATGTTAATGAATCTAGATAGATATATATGTCTAGGTTCATTAACATCAAAATGAATGTGGGAAATGTTAGAATGACTTACATTGTGAAACGGAGTGAGTAACTGCTACTCAAATTCTATGCACAAAGATTTGTACTGTCCAGATGAAAAAAAGGGAACTTGGTGTGTTTTGTGCTCTAATCCTGAAAAAATGTTCAGCACATTCTCTATGAATGTCCTGTTGCAAAATTCACCTGGTGTGTTTCCCGTGATGCTTGTGGCTGGAGTTTTCTCCCCTCTGCTTTTGAATCTTGTAATTTCTGGAGTAGTTGGGCTAGCCGGCTCCAAAAGGAACAGAATCAAAATCCTTTGCTTTGCTGCTGTTTGTTTATCAACTTTGGCTGATGGGCAACGATATGTTTTTTCAAACAAAAACTGTTATCTACTCCCCCCTGACTTTGATTTTCCGTGTCATTTCCTCCTTGTTTAGGAACACTGCTTGATCTCAATGATGGCGATGCCGGTGCCCGCGCTGACATTCTCAGGACATATGGTGCTGTTCTGCAGGTCCGATCCTTAGATGGCTCCTGTTAGGAGTTTTTGGTTCTTAGAATTATGTTAGATGCTATCTCGAAACTCTCAAGTAATTTTTTGTCCTCCTGCATGAAGCAAAACTTAGTGTATTGGTTGAAAATCTGGCATGATTGAATGGAGAACTATCGAGATTCATTACTGTGAGTCCATGCACTTTTAGACCTTTTAGATAATGATGCACTTCTAGACCTTGTTTGGATGGGCCTCAATTCCGGCCAGCGCAAGTGGATGTGTATGAATTCAGGCTCGTCAAATGATACGTGGCCTGAATCAATATAAACACATGCTGAGTTGTGTTGGTGGATGCCGAGTACAACAAATTAAGTGAGCGTGCATAATTATTATTCTTAGTCGGTGTTGCTGACCATGTATTTGTGTTGTTTAAGTTTTTCGACTTTGTTGTGTTTGTTGCGTGTGTAACGTCGAATGCACCAAGGTCTAGTTTGCGTTGGGCCATCGACATACTGGCATGTTTTTGCGCCCTTTGAACTCATCCACCAAGATGGCTAGGGAATCGAAGGTCATCTACACTGCCTTCCCTTGCATTGAAGGCTTGAACCACCACTCCGTGTGAAGGTGCCGTCGATGAAATAGGATTTGGTTCAGGGTGGTGAAGGTGCCGTCGATGAAATAGGATTCGGTTCAGGTGCAGTCAGTCACACTAGGACCATCCAAGTTGTATCTAAGGACTGAGATTCTCGGAGCACCGTTCACATAAAAAAAAATATTGTACAACTATTGTAGCAATGGTACTGTAGCACTTGATCTACATCCTTGATCTGAAAAATAAATGGAGCATGGGCGCCACTTAGGGGTGTTTAGATCCAGGATAGTAAAGTTTTGGTGTCATATCAGCTATTATATAGGATGTCGCATAAGGTATTTGGGAGCTAATCTATCTATCTATCCGCCAGCTGATTAGTGGAGATGACGGCTTGTATTTTTCTGACACGTGGCACGAACCAACATCGTATAGATGATTCTCTCCAGCGCGGCTGCTGTTTTTCTCGATACATCGCATACGTACGCGTTCATCTGGGCCTAAAGCACCTCCTGCATAAGAAGCCCATTAGCTAGCCACCCTGCGCTATGGAAAGGAATAAGATCACTTTGACTCCCTCAACTGACCACCGAATCTAAATCATATCCCTCAACCGTAATACTGAAATTTTGACTCTCGAACTGTCACTCCCTTGGTGGTTTTTTAGGGTGGTTTCGCTGACGTGGCGTACACGTGGCAGTGTTGACTTGGTCTTCATCCCACGTGACATTGACGTGACGCTTATATGCCATTAAAATTTAAAAAATATATATGGAGCTCATTTGTCATTAAAAAAAAAATTGTGGGTCCCACAGACATGTGGGTACTACATGTCATCTTCTCTCTCTACCCTTCTTCCTCCTCTCTCCCTTATCTCTCTCTCCCCTTGACATGAGCCAGCAGCTGGCAGGGGCTCAAGTGGAGGCGGCAGCAGGAGGGTGCGCGGTGGACCTCGGGCGACGGGCGCGGGAGCAGCTCCTCCTTGCGGATGCAGAGCGGGCGCTCAAGGTGCGCAAGAGCCTGCACCATGACTGCCACCAGCGAGCTCCTAGCATGGCATGGGGCGACGTCCTCCGTCGACCTCCACCTGAAGCTTCCCGACGAAGACCTCCTTGCGCGCCCGCGTGTTGAAGGTGAGCGGTTTGGCCTGAATCGGCCGGGGTGAGCGACTGAGCGCCCGACGACGCCGCCGCCGTTGGTGGCTGCTTCATGGAGTGTTCCCTGCTCAGCCTGAATCCGTTCCGGTTCAAGCCGATTTGGCCGCCGAGGACCGCGCCCAAATCCCCCTGAAGCCCTAGTGTTTCCCCTCCTCCCTGCCCGGGGATTTCGAGAAAAAGGATGTCCCCGGCGGCGCTTCCCCTCCCAACCCTTCCTCTTTTTTTTTTGTTCATCTCGTGTGTTCGGTGAAATTCTCGTCTTCTTGGAGGCTTCTGAGGGGAGGGAGATACTGGGCTAATCGGCTCAAGGTGTTGTGAAAGGACATGAGCTTGCCACGAGAGGCTCCTTGTCTCGTTTAGTTTGAGTTCGGGCTGGGCATCCCTTCTTCTATAGGTGAAAGTGGTGGTGGTGGTGCTACTGCGAGGGATGGCGAAAGAGAAGGATGGCGGCTCCGGCCCCTGCCCACCGTCGTTACCGCCGATCCGGACGCCGCTCCTCACGCATGAAGAGAAAGAGGGAGAGATAGAGAAGGAAGGAGAGGGAGGAGGAAGAAGGGATAAAGAGTGGATGACATGTGGGACCCACGTGTTAGTGGGCCCACAATTTTTTTTATGTGAATGACAAGTGGGCCCTCATAATTTTTTTAATTTTAATGCCATATAACCGCCACGTCAATGCCACGTGGGACGAAGACCAAGTCAACACTGCCACATGTGCGCCACGTCAGCGAAACCGCCCTCCAAAACCACCAAGGAAGTCAAATTGTACCGGTTTTGATAGTTGAGGGGTCAAGATTTCTGGTATTGCTGTTGAGGGATACGATTTAGATTCGGTGGTCAGTTGAGGGAGTCAAAGTGATCTTATTCCCTATGGAAAATCAGGGGAAGGAGCAAATGCCTATGTCAGCCCACTTGCTCTACATGTACACGTTCAATAGTCATTAGTATCGGAAACTCTAGGGCTTGTTTGGTTTGATACCAATTTATTACCCTACCAAAATTTTGATAATTTCAATAGTAGCAAGTGTATGTTTGGTTTGCTACCAAATTTTACTCACAATAGTTCAAATTGAATACTACACAATTTGGTAGTGCCAAAATTTGCCAATGTTTTGGCATTACCAAGATTTTGGTAGGGCAAAAATTGGCTCCAAACCAAACTAGCCCCTAATGCACGATGGATCGCTACCGCGATCGGGTAGCGATCGCCCACCCTCCCCCCTCCCTCCCTCCACGTTTCCTTTTTTGGCACCGCATTACTTTCCTATTTTAGTAAATTTATACACCTAAAGTTTATAGACCCAAAGTTTATAAATCAAAAGTTTATATACCCGATTCAAATTTGAATTTGAAATATATTCGATTCAAATTTGAATTTGAATTCAAATATTTTTTATATATAGTATTTAGTTTCATCTAAAGTTTATACACCTAAAGTTTATAGTCCCAAAGTTTATAAGTCAAAAGTTTACATACTCAATTCAAATTTGAATTTGAATTTGAATTATATCCGATTCAAATTTGAATTTGAATTTAAATATTTTTATATATAGTATTTCTATACATCTAAAGTTTATACACCTAAAGTTTATAGACCCAAAGTTTATAAGTCAAAAGTTTACATACCCGATTCAAATTTGAATTTGAATTCAAATATTAGTTTATAGACCCAAAGTTTATAAGTCAAAAATTTACATAACCGTTTCAAATATGAATTTAAATTTAAATATTTATGATGTAGTAGGAAGAGAAAAAGGAAAGAAGGAAGGGGGGAGAGGAGGGAGCGACCATACAAGGGAGGAGCGATCACCCGCGCATTAGGCGTACCCCATTAGTATTCTATAGTACATTTACAAAAAAAAATGTTGAATGCATATACAACTACTCATATTCATACATATCTCTATGAGTATTTTTTAAAATATTAAACTGCATATCTTAAAATAAAAAAAAATATTTTATTTCTTCAACTAATTCAATGGACACCATTAAAAAAAATCTAATTTTTGACTCGGTTCACTTTACTTCGTAATAGCATTTCTCATTTTTTGTTACTCTTTATATAAGTTGTATTTTAAACTGAACCATACATGGGATTATTATCAAAGTTTGTTACGGATGTTTGCTTGAACTTTAAATTTTGATGTTTAAATTAGTCTTAAGTGCTTTCAACCTACATAAACAATGAGAAAAAAAAGAAATGTTGAAATGTATGTTGTAAATGCATGCAAAAATATGACTTATATAGAGATTTTTTTTTAAAAAAGGGAGAGAAATAACATTAAAGGAGTAAAATGAACCGTTTTCAATAATTCGGGATGTAAAATGAGAAAAAAAGTTTAGAAGGTGAAGTGCTTTGGTGAAATAGTATAGGGGTAAAATAGATTTTCTCTTAAAATTAATGAAATCACCATATATAACTCATTGTCAACATATATATCACCTACCACTAATTAGCTGTCAATACAAATTCCTATACTAAGTATATGACTTAAACCCAACAAAACATTATGACTCCTAACAAAACAAAATTCTAGAACACTTTAATTTTTTAAAAAAGAAATACCAACACCCTATTTTATTATTAGCAAACAATTTAATTATAATTTTAGACAAACAAAAGAAGAATTAATAATAGCAATTTAATTATAATTTTAGACAAACAAAAGAAGAATTAATAGTACGGACGGAAAAAAGAGAGAAAGTTTGACGGATTTCTCTACAATATGATCGATTATGTTAAACTGGAACACAAAAAATTCTATTCAATTATGATTTTTGCATGAGTTTCAAGGAAAACTAAATTGATTTCTATATTTTTTTTATGAAAAATGCGCTGATTAATAACACAAAAATATTATATACAGGTAATAAATCGAGCGCGCCCTAATTTTCTAGTCTAATCTTCTAAAGCTGGCAGGCGTTCCTGCAAGCTGATTGGTCGATTCGTCCCCCTTACTTTGGTTGACACGTGTCCTCGAGCCCGTCACGAGTTCGCGCGACGCCCTCCTCGATGCTTCATTTTTCCGTGCGTACACACTCGTGCAATCGTGCGCCTCAGGCTCCCCGTTGGGCCGTGCAACTAGCGTGGGCCTGATCTGCCTCGAGATACTACATGGGAGCCAGGTGCTGTGGCGTAAGCAATAATAAAAGCATATAAAAAGATTTATACTGGACCATGTTCTAAAAAGTACAAAACAATATTCTATAGTGCAGTCGTGTAATATATATTTTTATATGGAAATTGAACTATTTTCAAGGAAATTTTCAACATGATCATAGATAAAATTAGTTTATGGACGATGACCATCTATCATACGCAACGCTAAGATCAGGAAATAGTGCAACGGTATACTAGATCATTAAATAGAGTGATGGTATGTTCAAAATTATTTGGTGGTGAGCAAGGCAACGTAGTTCAGATGGACAGAGCCATCTACATATATATATAGAGAGAGAATTTCACTAAGACAGACGAGGAAGCAGACTTGAAAAAAGAAAGAAAAAACAAAACAAAAATAAGATTTAAAAATCATTCATCGGTATTAGACAACTAGCATCGACCCAGTATTTTCTCCCCGTCAATCCTCCATGATCCAAACAAATCACTTTTCGCCCATGAACCGTTTGTGCCAATGGATTGGTTTGATCAAAAACTTCACCAACATTATAAATTTAAAACCCATTAAACAATAAGCACGGGTTATAAAATGAATATACTCGAAGGTGAGTGAGAGACCGTTTCCAGCGAGGTAGATGAAGTAGGAGACAAATCGAAGTAACGCGAGCAGACTATTAATGCGAGGAAGATGGTTTCTCATGAAATTTTGTTCCATGTGCGAGTCTCGAGGAGCCGGGAAGCATGGGAGGCGCGCGGGAGGTGGGGAGCCGGCGGGTCGGTCGCCATTCTGGCAGCGCCGGCAGATGAGAACGCTGGGGAGTCAGGAGCGATAACGACGCAGTATAATCGGAATGGGCCTAGGCAGTGGCTTGGGCTTACCCATGTATATTGGGCTGTGGTTAACGGTAGGGAAGAGAGGGACTGCAATCTGAACCATTGCTATTTCGCTGTGGTAATTTAAGGTGACGTGGCTGCACGACAATACAGGAAATTTCTATTAGTGGGGATGAATTATATAGGTATATAGGATAAGAGAAGATTCGAACGACGGAAAAAAAACAAAGAGAAAAATGCTGTGACTTCAGATAAAATGGTTACTGATCACGTGTATCCAATATTTCATCCCAAGGAACAAGTACTTGTTCCCTTGTTCCCTTGTATCAATTCTGATTGAAAACTAGTTTCACGCTTATGCATCCAACAGACCAAAGCTACAAGGTACTTCGTGTTGGGGAATACGCAAGCTTTAGCTCCATCAGTACATCAGAATTTTTCCCTTGAAAAAAGTGGAGTACATCAGAATCTCAACACTGGAAATACCTCCGGTAGAGATAAGAGATCATATGGAGCATATCCCGCAGAGACAATCCTGCTGCCAAAAGGCCGGCCATGGAGTGAATGAGCAGCCATGAATGAAGCCTCCTTGCACAAGAACTCTACAAGTATACAGCCAGCTTCGAGTGCAGTGTTGTTAGAAGCCAAAGCGTTGTCTCTAGCATCTACTGCAGGTGCCTTGGTGTTGTCACTGCCAGCAGGATACTCTACGACATTTATGGATTTCACAGCTCCATACCTGCAAAATCTTGTCCATAATGTAAGCTGAAACCATCATGATAAGTAATACAGCAAGAATGCAAGAGAATTATTTCTATACCTTGCACACTTCACACGTACATCTTCCAATACTGCATCTACCTCATATTTTGAAAGCAGCGAGTATTCCTCCTGGTCAAACTACATTTATTGCAAGTTTGTAAACAACTCACATCTTTATAAATGTAAGAAGTGTGAAAAAAATTGGTTGTTCTGTTTACCGACTAAATGATTTTGATACGAAGAGAGATATCTATTGGGAGAGACTTATGAACAGAGTTAACACTATGACATACCACATTTTTTAGCTGCAGGACTTGTGTTGGTACTGCAAGAAGAGGTTTGGGATTGGCAGGAATTCCATGAAATGGGCAAGCTTCATTGCCAGCCTGAACAGAGTGGGGTTTAACTCAATAAAATGTATAAGGCAGTAAATGAATGAATCCAAAATGTCTTAAAGTTTGAACCTGCCCAGGATGATCAGTTAACACGCCAACAGCAGTTATTACGCATCCACCAAGCTTCATGCCGTTAAGGCCAGCACATGCCTTTGATGTAATGGAGTGATCAATGTACTGTGCATATCAAATTGATCAGAAATTAGTTTGTTGGAGGTATATCCATATGCTCTAGTTTAGGAGTAAGCAGGGCTTTCCAGACCTCAAGAAATGCGCATGCTCCACCAAGGTCTTCATTAAAAAGAAAGCGGTAAGCAGCCAATTGACCAAATGAACTAACTATATCCCTGAGCTGAAAGAGGAAAATGCAGTAACTTGTCAGGGATAAGAGCTTTAATAACAACATGCAGAGCGAAGATTACTAGGTTATGCAAATATACTGGTGGATGCTGTTATATTACCATCTTAGATGAAATCACTCTAGGAATTCCAGCGATGAAAATCTGCAGAGTTAAAAAGTGAGATATCCAATGAAAGCTACTAAAATTCTTAAACAATCAAACCCATATGTATTCCATTAGTTCAAAGACAAATTTTGCTACATGACACTTAAAATTTGTGCAAGTTGTTGGTAGGCATCGCAAACACATGTCGTAGCTGAAAGACGCTATAGATTATTATTGGTAACTAGCTAGAGGACACTTTCAGCTTAATTGGAGAGAGAAATTCTTCAAATAGACGATAATACCCCTAGGGCCCCCAGGTTTCAAACGTGGGTTTAGAGTGAAAATTTGGGAATTATGCAACTCTAAATCTACCATGGCCCCATGTACATTGCCAGCATATATACATCATATTCCATCTTTCACTGCATTCCTAGGTTAGAAGCTTTTGTCCCTAGGGGTATTCTCGTCTTTTTGAAGAATTTCTCTCTCCAATTGAGCCAAAAGTGTCCTCTAGCAAATTACCAGCTTTTTAGAGTGTCTTTCAACCGTGACACATTTTTTGCGATGTCTACTACCAAATTACACAAGATTTGAGTTCAAAATAACAGTAGGCATATGATATGCATGTATCAAATATTTAAGCCAGAAAAGCAAGCATTTCTATCTGTAAATATTCTTTTACCAACTCTCTCTAGAAATATAGCTATCTTTCATAGAGATGAGAATAAAACAACTCAGACTGTGGCAACTTACCTTGTGTGGTGAATCTCTAACGACATCAGATATTAATTTAATCTCTTCAACTGGCTTCTTAGAATCAGCATGCTGCATGAAACAATATATATAACACAAGATAAAATAAAATAAGAAAGATTTTACATGCTATGATCTGCTGCAAAGCTGCAAAATTCATGCAACAGCAAAAAATAAAAAATGCAAAAGGAATTAAGTATGCTGAAAATATCAGAGTGATGTTGAAAATCGGACTTAACCCTTAATAATATTTCTTACCGACATGTCTGAACTTCCAAGAAGATGCCAGATATCACTGCATATGGTAGGATGGTTTTGCCGAACAATGTCGTCAACATTTAGCTGCAAATATTTATGTTAGAACTTAGTACAGACAACCTCCATCCATCCCAAAACATAGTGAACTAGTATTCAATTAGACACCACTACAGATTCATAGTACTAGGTGGTATCTAATCGAGTACTAGGTAGCAATATTTTGGGACGGAGGGAGTATTTGGCTTTCAACACATGCAAAATACATGTCAAAAAACATTACCTTTATTTTATTCCAGTGAGCATAAGCACCACAGACACAGCGTACATAATCTTTTAAGCTTCTGAAGTCATATGCTGGAATTCCTTCATCTTTACGATAGGTTTCCATTTCAAACAGGAGACCTTTAAAGTCTTGAGTTGTTCCTTCATTCCAAGGAAGCTTACGGATTTTTGAAGCTCTCACTCTTGACATAAAAGTGTCATCATTCAACCTAAGTGATATATCCTTTGCAAAGAAGTTTACCCTCGTCATCAAATCCCAAAAAAGAGGATGCCCAAGAACAATTTCTTTAATTGCCGGCAATGCAGTCCTGAAAATTTTGGGAAAATGATGCTCTGCATTAGAGCATAAAATCCAAATGCTCAAGTGATCCGCTACACTATGTTCAACGGTATAATGCTACAATATCAAAGTACTGCTACAGTATAGAACAATTCAAAATCCAAAGGCTCAAGTGATCTACTACACTATCAAAGAAGTACTCTGCTACATTATAAAACAATTCAAAACCCAAAGGCTCAACTGATCTGCTACAGCTACAGTATCAAAGTACTAGTGCTACAGTACAAAACTGATCTCAGCTAAAGATGTTGCATTGTTTTTAACTTACTTATCCAGGGTTTTCAATAGAGCAGTCAAAGATTCAACATGTCCGCAGAAATATCTATCACATTGAGCAAGCTTTGAGCTTATTTCAGCAGCTCTTTCTAAAATTTCTTCAAGCATTTTAATAAGGCACAACCAATCGGCCCACTGGGCTTCCTCCAAGCTCATTGTCTCTGTAATTCAAGGAGTAAATGTCACAAAATTTAAGAATGCTACACAGTGATAAATAGTACAAAACATGTAAAAGTGAGATCAGTGATCAGATTGCAATTACACTATATATGTTTTACCTTGTTTTCTGAAGTTAGCAAGCTTAACGGTAGACGGTTGAAGATACAAAATCGAATCCCAATTGAGATTACCATGATACAGTTTGTTCTTCCTCAAGAAGTCAAGCCCCTCAATGACTTGCCTGAGAAAAGATTCAGCACAAAATAAATAACTAAACAAATAAGATACATGCACAGCAGTTATCATTGCAGACTTGCGGTTATAATTGGATTATTGCTACCTTAATAAGGACTGGAGTAATGGTGAAGGAATGTGGTTTATTCTGTCACCCCAGCAATCATGTTTAAAACAAAGTGATGATAACAGTCCAGTGTAAGGCTCTACAAATGCTGCTAAGGATGAGGGGCCATTGCTCTCAACCTTGTCCCTGGATAGGGCTTTCATTGAGAGAATGTTTCGGTGATTTAGCGTAAGCATTATGCAATGCACATGATCATTATCTGCCATCTCCCTCTTCAGACAGACAAGGGGATAACTGTTAACGCTTCTGCATATCTTCTTTGAGGACGAAGGTTTGATAACCCTTAAGGAATACTTCTTTTTACCAGGGACTCTCTCCTGAAGCACTTTAAAGGGAATCTCCACTTGATCTAGAGCAAAAAGAAAATGAGAATGGCATATGTTTTAGTAAAATGTTAACCATCAAGACTGAAATGAATTACTAGAAGCAAGTTGGAAACATAGTGAAGCTACAGCAAGCCTGCAACACCTCACTATTTCACTTTCAGATCCTACTTGCCCTACTTGCCAGATATCCATATAATACTGTTAAACAATCGGCACAACTTAAATACATTTTAGCTTGCTATGGCTTCGAAGAAGATGAGATACTATACTACTTAGAAAACCACTGAGGAGATGAAGACCTTTATATGAGAGAATAGATTAATTCATACATCTTGCTTGCCCCACATAAACTGCTGAATGCTCCTCATATTTCTATATGGCCAGCCCCTAAGAACCAAATAACTCAAAGATCTCAAACCTAACAGCAAAATCATTAATCGATCTCGATCTTCCAACTATATAACTAGGCTATAGGTATCAATATCATGTGTAGTGTGCTTTTGATCAGCACCATGGGCCCATACAGAAGTTGCCATGTGCTGCCGGCCAGCCATTGTACAGCCATATGCTCATGAGCCATGAAACTAGTATTGATATTGAGAATATAGAGAACTGTTGAATGGAAATTTACATACCTGGGTCCATTTTGATGAATATAGCCTTTGCAGCTGCCTTGTTTGTTATCAGAATATCAAGGAGCTTACTGCCAACAATGTACAATAAACAAATTTTAGTATGCAAGAAGTTGTGTTTGCTGACATATATACAATGGGTAAATAATAGCACATCTTAACAAAAGGAGATAAATGATACTTTTTTCTTTCCTCTCTTGCATTGTCACAATAATTCGACAAGCCAAGAATCCCGTCCTTGTTACATAACAGCTACAAACCAGTAATAATGTCTTGCATCTTATAGCGCAAAAGGGTTCAATTGACAAGTTGTTTCATATTCAAACAAGCTATCCTATGAATTGTTGCAATTATGCAGTATCATCTGGAGTATCTATTAACAAGTTGTTGTATGTTTTACCTAATGTTCCATTCTTCCTGTTAACTACAGGTTTCCAGGGTACTTCAAGCGTACCACCTATCAGCAAAAGAGTCAACCTGTGCAGCACGTGTAATGTCTCTAGACTCTCGGATTGAAGAAGCACTTGGATCATGCTTGCAACAATCATTGCAGCTTATACCTGCAAGGCTGCAAACCGTGCTGTCGATATGGAGATATGGCTCCAGTGATGCGGTGACTTCTAGCCAGGAACTGAGTTGAGAAGGTGAATGTTTCTCTAATTCTCTCCCTGGGATTTGACCATCATTTGGGCTCTGATTAGTTTATGGATCGTGTGGAGACTGACCAACCAAGTAAAGTTACTCCTACTATTAAATTCCCAGAAGCTACTACTCTTTACAGAGCAGTGAACCATAAATCTAGTGCTGCAAAAGAGGCTGCCACGAGCGCATAGCCCAAGACAGCACGGCATGGTTGAGCCCACAGGACCAGAATTCTGGAAGTCACAGAAAAAGGAATACCCAATACATCCAGGAAAGAACGAGCAAACAAGAGGAAATGGAGGCTTGAGAAGAAGACGACAATGCAAAGTGAAACTTTGAGCAGAAGCCAACACACATTCTGTGAGATTAACAGCATGTAATATACAACTCTAAATATCTTACTAGTAGTACAAACTAATCAATTAATACCACTTCATAACAGATGAAGAACGCGTGGGGCCGGGGGGGGGGGGGGGTTGAATATTTGTCACTATTAGAAGTGGCAACTCTCTAAATGCCACTCTTAGGTTTGTCCTTGTAATTTTTGCCACTGGTGAGATATTATGCACTAATATTTTGCCACTGTGGAGTGCCACCTAGGATGGCCAGCATGGACAAGGCAGTTGACCAATCCGCCCCTCCATTTCTCTGGTGATGAAGACAGAACAGTGCAGCTATATTTCGACAAAAAAAATTCTGGCAAAATGATAGAAACATATATAGCAGATTTAATAGGCATGTTAAAACCATGTGAAATTAGTTCAACACTACAGAGAAGTCCATATATTCAGTGCCACAGCTGTATTCTGCAGATTTAATAGGCATGTTAAAAATTGAACAAGTCTATTTGACAGAAGAATGCAAAGCCACTGAAACTATCATCTGAATAAGGGATATGCGATGTTCTGCCACAGTACCCCCCATGGTTTTTTCTGTGTGGAGCTTTCTTATCTCTTTTGTGGAGAGGTTGGAATAGTGCAACAATCTTTCTGATTGTCAGTAGTGTTATCTTGAATTTTTCTGCTCACACGAATGGTTGGGTTCTGTTTAGCAGTTAGCACTAGAAAAACAGAGGGGGAAATTGGTCATTGCAACTACCATGTCCATGCTGTCCATCCTAGGTGCTGGCGCTCCACGGTGTCAAAAGTGGCAAAACATTAGTGCATATAATATCTTTAGTGGCAATTTTACCAGGACGGATCTAATCTAAGAGTTAATATTTGGAGATAGTGACAGATAGTTAAATCCCCCCATAACAGAGCAACGAAACAAATAGAGGTTAATACAGAGATAGATGAGAGAAGCAATCTGGTGCAGTCGGCGTAGAACAACGCGACACCGCAAACAGCATCTGAACAAAGAAAGGACGGGAGAATGCATGCTTCTTACACTGTAGTACTTGTCGCCGGCGACCGAAATTGAAGCCCGCCGGGGAGCGTCGACGGCGCTGAGCTCCTCCTACCCGAGATGGGCTGGGCACGAGCACGAGCACTAGCACGATCAGCGCGTGGAAGGGAGGAGAATGTATAAAACGAACAGGTGCGGGGCCGATGGATCTCACCTGCTCGGCTGGGAAGTTACGACCTAGTTTCGCCGGCGACGGACGGGCGGGAGGGCGGTGCCGTACTCCTGCTGGGGTTTGTCAGAGGAGCCGACGAGGGGAAGAGGGAGAGCGGAGAGAACGGAGGCGGTGTCTTTTTTCTTTTTTTTTTTGACGACGATGATTATGGAGACAAAGGCTGTCTTCTTTTCTCTAAGGGGCAATTGTGTTTCTGCCCTTACTTTACATCTCAATTGTGATTTTACCCCTGCTTTTTAGGGTTTGTGATTTTGCCCCTGCTTTTTTTAAACGAAGCAGCTGCCTGCCCCTACTCTATTAACTGATGGTAACGGTGTTAAATGTGTGATAAATGGACAAGTATACCTCTGGACATGTTTTGGCTTGCACAGGATACATGTTTCAAGTTAATTTTGAGCAAATTTCATATGGGAAATAAATGTTCACAAATTTTGTAAAAGTTGATAGAACACAATATTTTGGATAATTTTGATAGAATTTTCACAATAATTTGAACACAGTTTATAAACGATGTCAGAACAATATTTTTGACAAAATTTTGACAGAAATTCATCAATAATTTGGACACAAATTATAGAAGATAACAGCACACTATGAAGGACAAAATTTCAGCAATAATTTCTGCTCGCTGCTTGCTAGCTCGCTGCAAGCACACTTCCTGCTCGCTAGCTGCGGGGCCGCCGGCCGTGGCGTCTCCCTGCGCGTGCAACACCGCGGGGCCGACGCGCCGACGGAGCCGCCGCTCCTCTCCGCTGCTCCTCGGCCGCGGCGCGGCCGGCCGCCGCGTCTCCTGCGCGTGCAACACCGCGGGGCCGCACCGACGGAGCCGCCGCGCCGACGCGCCGACAGAGCCGCGCCGCTCCTTTCCGCCGCTCCTCGGTCACGGGGCCGCCGGCCGCCGTGCCTCCCTGCGCTTGCAACCCGCGGGGCCGCCGCGCCGACGGAACCGCCGCTCCACAGGGCCGCCGCACCGCCGCGTCGACGGAGCCGCTGCTCCTCAGGGCCGCCGCGCCCGACTCCACCGCCCGCTGGCCCAAGCCGCCGCTCCTCCCTGCCGCGCGCCGCCGCCTGTCGCGTAAGCCCCTGCCGCCGCCGCTTGCATGGTTTTTCGATTGAATCGGGGACAGCAAGGTTTGGGGATTTAGTTGTTTCATTGAAGCAAGGCTAGAATAGTCATTCACAAATTATAATAGCATTTTCTTTTATCGTTTAATTCGGAAATCCCGAGCCCACGAAACTACCGTCCAAACCAGGGGCAGACGGCTGCTTCGTTTCAAAAAAGCAGGGGCAAAATCACAAACCCTAAAAAATAGGAGTAAAATCACAATTGAGATGTAAATTAAGGGCAGAAACACAATTGCCTCTTTCTCTAAAGGCAGTGTTGGAGGGTTTGTGCTTTTTCAGAGTAGTCTGGGTTTTTATCTATTAAGAACAACCTTCCCCGTGCTTTGCTGTGAAAATTTCTAACTAGTAACTTTTAATATTTTTAATAATTGAGCTAAAAGTAAAAAATATATTAGTTATAAACCATAAATAAAACTGATTTGTGTTCAGATATATACATTTATTAGACTTCGTACGAGATTGTAAATGAAATATGATAGACATGCCAATGTGATATCCGACACTTTGATTATATGGATGATGAATATATGTTAAGTATTATAAAGATGATGGATACATATGCATACATACATACATGTATATGTTAAAAATACTATGAAAATAATGTGAAGGAAGATGATTGGATGTTGATTTGGAGAATTCAATAAATTATAGATGATGTTGCATGCTTGCATAAGTTTTATATGTAATTATTGTTAGTGGATGATGAAGTGGTATGTTTGTATGTTGAACTTTAGGATTAGCGGGTTATAACTTTATACTAAGATAGAATATGGAGTTATAAAATTTAGAAAATGAATTAGAAATCAAACACTAGCTATCTACCAGCAGCTACTTAAAATCTTATTAAGCTTTTCAAACAGACCAAGTATTTTTCTTTTTTGGCTTCGTTTCTGAACCGGAGTCTGGGAATTTTTACTAGTAAGATCATGGTTTACCACAATTTATCTTTTTTTTTTCTGGGAAGGTCAAAAGGAAATTTAATGATTGTATTCTGAGCTTTCATTTTTTTTAGCTTACGTTTTTGAGCCGTTAACCATACAAATATAAAGGTCATGTCCCAAAAAAAATATTTATTGTTTTCCCTAAAAAGAGTATTTCGTTTGGTTTTTCTGTGGCTTATCAACTGAAGCCACAATTTAGACATATGTATGCGCAACATATCATTTAGCCATGCGCATACATGACAATGTATAGAGAATTAATTTGTGTCTATGATGTTGTTCGACCGAGCTGAAATGTGTGAGAATGTAGGGAACCTTAAGCATAAAAAAAAAGAGAGTAGAGAACCTCGTACCTGCGACTTTATTCAATTTTTTTCACGGTCTAGCGTTTGGAGCCGGAAATTATTCTAGCAGTTGCATTAGCAAAAACACTTATCAAAATATTACTAACAGGCAGCGAAGCAACACAAATACATCTTAGCTAGCAAAGTAGTTGCATTAGCAAATTTATTTACCAAAATACCGAACTTATGTTTACCAAACAAACAACATATGTTTACCAAACTTTAAATAACACCAAATCTCCTGTTTAAAATTTGCATTAGCAAACCATCCGAACAGATCCGAAATGCACGTTGACGAATGCGCGAAAGCATTAATTGTTCAGAAACAGCCCCTGAAGGCTGAAGCTTAGTACGGTGTGTTGCGTCCAGTTGGAACTTGGAACCACCTCTTTCCAATCTTGTCCCCGTTCGTCCGGTTATCCGGTGTAGTGCGCCAGAAGAAGGGAGGAAGGGAGAGGGAGAATTCGGGGGACCACATTCCAAGTTCCAACGGAGGCCGGAGAGGATGGTCCATGTCTGATGTCTCCATGATATCCGTCCGTCCAACGGAGGGACGGCCGGATGGGTTCGCCGTGTAACAGAGCCGTACCCGTCCGTACACGGTACATCTACTCCAGGCCAGTCGTGCTGTAATAGTAGTATATACTACCTCCGTTCAATTTTAGATGAATGTCCTAGGATACGTTACGTCCGTCTAAAATCTCTTATATTTTAGAACGGAGGGAGTAAATAACTAGAAAAATATGCTTGTGTTATAGTGAAAAAAAAATTAAAATTATTGAGCAATATTAAAATCTACTTGTTTAGTGCTAAGCCCTTCGTTCCCTTTTCTGTGGGGCTCAAACAGAAGAGAACTCATTTGAACTACACATATATGAACCACCAATATTACTCCAATGAGAAAACTCCTGTGTACCCCCCGAAAATTCACCTAATCCCTTATATGCCCTTAAGATTTACTCATTCTCTTTCATGCCCCTAAATTTCAGTTTGGATCCTTTCTATACCCTTTCCGTTAGTTGACCGTTAAATTCTTATCATAAAGTCCATTTTTCCGCTTGAAATTGTGCATGAAGGGCCGAAGGGTGAGGTGGGTGGTTCGACCTCGAAGGTTGGTTCAGCACGACTGTCGGCCGGACCAGCGCCATGGTTGCTTGAGGGGCTGGACGCGTGAATATGGTCAGGGTCGGCTGAACCAAATGAGGTGAAACCTAATTGACTTGGGCTGCCGTGGTCGAAGCTTGAATCACTTGCGTCACTGTTGAGGGTCCCGAAGATGGATTGGGCCTCGCCGAAGCCGAAGGTGCTGTCTTGGCTTGCAGGGCCGCCTCATAGGCTTGATGTTGCTCTTGCATCCGGTGAAGTGTGTCGTGCAGCCTTATCATGTTCTGGCGCATGGCTTCCATCTCGGCCCTTTGCGCCGCCGGAGCCTCACTCTCGGCAACCGCCTGAGTTGTGCTTGGGATGATGGAGGCCATCGCCTGAGTCGAAGCTTGAGTATCAGGACTTGGATGGTCGAAGGTGCTGCTTGAGTCCGAGCTAGTTTGGCCACTGCTTGCTCCTCGCCACCTTCACCTTCTTGTAGCTCCGCTCCTGCTTCGGCTCGTGCGGGCTCTTCGCCCGCCATCTCCGCTTCGCCTTCGCTCTCCTTCCTCTTAGGTGCAACTCTCTCTCTCTCTCTCTTTGTGTGTGTGTGTGTTTTCTTCGGTGGCATCAGTGGCTCCGCCCTGGGTTCCCTACGGTCGGCGCTAGCTATTGTCGAAGCGACAATAGCTTCACATTGAAGGACGTGATTTACTCAGTGGAGTGATTGAACAGTAAAACAATGTATTAACTTATGAAAATTTGTTGGGATCCCCCATTACATGCTTCTAGTGGGCTATTTATAGGCTCAGTACAAACTCATGCTCTGTAGGGTTTAATATGTTTAGAGAAATTTACATGGATACCTTTATAATATATATAAACTCATGCAGTGTCTATTCTAATGATGGGCCCCTAGATGGGTCATTGGCCTGGCCCATAAGAGGGGAATGGTCTTCATGGGCCATGCTGCTTGGTGGGCTCCCTGGTGAAGCCTGTCTTCCATGGGGCGAACCCTTCATGCCTTGCCCAGAGGAGAGACTAGGTGGTGAGCCTTCTCAGCTTGGTAGCGAACCCTCTTGGCTTCGTCTTCTGGCTTCACCTCAAAACTTCGCACGAGGCAAATCTTCTTCTGAACTTGGTTGGCGTCTTGCTGATTTGATGATTTCGGTAGGTTCAGCTGAAAACCCTCGTGACATGCCTCCGGCACCCATCTTCCTCGTGCACCACAATGGTCAACGACCTCCTGGATGCTATGCTGTCTGTGGCCTCTGTGTTATGTCGGGCACAGTTTCACTGTCGCCTGCTGCTGCAGACTAGCAGTGATCGATGGAACTACTCCACTTTTTCCTTCGAGCTCAGGCGTTCGGGGCCGGGGCACCCTCCGATGGCATCCAGCATCCCTCACCACCACCCGCGTCCTCCCTCAGCCGCAGCCGTAGCCGCGCTCCGGCGGTCTCGACCACCGCCCTGGCGTCGTCCTTCCGCGAGGCAAAAGACGAGCTTGATCAGGAAACGAAAGGCGTCGTCAGGTGGCTGCCACCACCATCTGACCCATCAGGCCCAGTAACAGTCGGGGCGCGGTGGCACAGCAGTGGCAGGCAAGGGAGGCGATGCTGTGCTGCTTGCCGGAGCTCCTATCGCAAGTTCGTGTTGCCTTGCAGCAACTTGGTGGCCCTCAGTCTTAAGGTAGAGAAGATCAGAGCAATTATAACTAATTAAGTTGCGTTTTTGCTAGTGATCTGACGCGTGATTTTTTTCTCAGGTATTTCACGTTTTTTTTTTGCCGCACACTATGTGCGCCAAGATTTGTGCAAGAATTGGTGGCCAAGGCTACATGCGTTGTGCGTTGTATGTTTAGGCCCGGTTTTTTCTAAATAAAATTTGTTTTCTTTAACGGTTGAAAAATTAAGATATTTGGAACTAAAATAAAAAAATATAAAATTATAGTCCTATATAACTAAAATTATATTTGTATTAGTGATTTTGTTGAGCAGGATTTGATGGTCCCTTTTTTTAGAGGGAAGTTTTATGCAGTATGAAAGGTTCCAATTTCACTCAACCATTCATGATGTCAATTAACCGCAAAACTGTAGTGCAGAGCACATCAGAATAATACTGTTTTATCTTCACCCATTGCAACGCATGAACATTTTGCTAATAACGATATTTGTTGCATAATAACGATATAATAGCCAAACATTTCGTAAGTTTGAATAGAAAAGACCTTGGAGTTCAAGCCTAATTTTCAAACTAATGAAACTTTCATAGGGAGACGAGAGAATACGACGCTGTTAGAGCAAGTTTAATAGTATCTCCTGAAGATGAAGATAAAGATTAAGTGTTTCACACAAAACGAGGTGGTAATAACGTGTGATTAATTGAGTTTTAATTATTACAAACTTGAAAAATGGATTAATCTGATATTTTAGAACAACTTTCATATATAAAGTTTTCGCATAAAACACACCGTTTAGCAGTTTGAAAAGCGTGCCACTTTAATCCAAAATTTTATCCGCGTTTTTAATTGGATTCGAACGGGACCACTTGTCAACTATTAGCTCCAATTTATCTATAGTCAATCTAATAGTCCATTCATACAATAGTTACATACTGCATTATTAATACATGGTCACACATGTCATACACACTGCGTCTTGGAGTCCAGCTGACTACAAATCTGTAGCCCTTTGTTCTTTTCTCTCCTCATATATCTCCTTAAAATATATTTATATGTTCTTTTCTCTCCTCATTTACTTTCTTAAAATATATTTATAGCAAGCTTATAGCCTGCTATTATACCTACTCACGGCTCACGGGATCTTTTACGGTGTATTCGTCATGTTGATGTCACATTCCTTTTTTTAACAAAATTAATGTCGTGGTAAAATATAGCAACTTGAAATATTCCAATTTCCTCTTAGCTTGCCATGCATATTTTAGGACCAAAAAAGTATGTGATATCTGAGTATCACAGCGCTATTACATGTAGTTACCAAACACCTAGTTACCATATGCAAGTATCATGGCATTTAGCTAGTGTACCAAAATTTTAGTTTAAATCATTATACAACTGGATGGTCTCCAAAGCAGACAGCGAACATTTAAAATGATGAATGTATTGTCCGCATCTGAATAACTGAGGTATTTGGCTAATGCATAAATTTCAATTAAGAGCCCCATCGTTTTGGTGGCATATATTTACAAACGAAAAATAATTTGTAAATAAAAATTTTATATGCACACAAAGGCTGAAAAATAAACTATAATGAAAAACCCCCCAAAATCAACTCCAATTTTAAGCTTCAAAATTCAAAGACTAATAAGCATTAAGCATAAGCGAAAAAATAAGACCGTAACATTACACTGTAATAGGGTTGCCCAGTGTAACACGGGATAAAAGTATCATATCTCAACAGAAGATAATAAATAAGAAATTTGATAATAAACCGTAGCGCCAATATCCTTTCTTATTACTAATAATATACTCAAAAAGATTTCAGCCGCCATTTGCTTAGTTGTCCATGGCATGCATTGCCTCGCTATTGTCTCCCCTGGGCTGTGTTGTGCAGTGACCTTCTAGGTTCTTGGCTCTGGTCCTCTGCCTATATAAGCAAATGATACAAAAAGAACTAAAATCCACACATTGTTCCCGTTATAGTGATGTATAATCATATACAACTGTTGAGAAGTGTATGCATACTTTTGGTAATCAAACCGATATCTTCTGCGATTTTTATCTTGTTTCTGGCGTAATCCAAATAAGTCTGTGGTTTTGGAATCTGAAGATAAAATTCGCCTCCATGTTAGCAAAATAAGAAAAATTTGGTGAAGGCACTCAACACCATAATCAACTAGGAAAGAAAAAGAGTCTACTTCACCCCTTAAAGTAATGGAGTTGGTCTACTTAACCCCGTAAGTGTGAAATCGGATATTTTAGCCCCTTAGGTATGAAAACCAGCTCAAATAACCCCCTAGATGGTTTTTAAGGAGGTTTTGCCATGTAAATGATGACATGACAGTATTATTATTTGCATGGCACAAATATTAGTCCAACCCTTTACGAAATTTCACTCGCTGATTGGTATGCCTAAAAATTATATATTAGCATCAATGTATATTATTCTAAAGCCGTTCAACTTATTAAAAAAAAAACTTAGTCGAGTCTAGCTATCATCATGTCATTAGACCCTCCATAGTAAAACCACCGCCATATCATCATGCATGTTCACAGTAAAATCGTCTACAAAGGAGTTATTTGAACCGATTTTTATATTTCAGGGGGTAGAATACCCAGTTTCATGCTTAGGGGATCAAGTAGACCATCCTCAATACTTTAGGGGTGAAGTATTCCACTAGGAAAATATCACCTATACCCCAGGATACATTTGCTTGATAGGGAAATAAATCAACTAACCATTTCTATAATGGCATCTTTGATCAATTGACGAGCTTCCTTTTCTGGCACCTACACATAGATGTTCCATTAGTGTGAAGAACATATTTCAGTTGAGCATGAACCTCATGCAAAAAAGTATATGCTTACCGTTTCATCAATGCAAGCCACGTAGAGATCGTACTGAACAACAGAAAGAAAAAAGAATTAAAAATGGATGGATTGATGAGTTGTAATCATCCTGATGTAACGAAACTGAGAAGAGGAACCTACATTTTCCTTCATCGAACGGAATCTCCCTCGAGTACTGCGAAGCTCATCCTTAATATCAACATTGCGCAAGGGAAACATATCTTCTCTATAAAGTTCTGACAGGGCATCAGTGAATTCCATCTGACAAAAGATGAAATAGCATAAGTATACATCACTAAGAATATAAAGCAAAGAACGAACAGAAAAAAAAAAGAGCACCATAAGCTGCGTAGTTCTGCACATTGAGGTAATCTAACCTTCTGCTTAGCAACCCGCTTCCAAACCTCAAAATACACACCATCAAAATCCTTGTAGTTACAACAATCAAACCGCATGCTCCATATATATTCCTAAATTAGAAGATAGTACTATTGTTAAATACCATCACCACTTATGCTTGCCAATTAAAATTAACAGGAGGCATTACCTGGAAAGCAGTCATAACTTGCATTAGAGAAACAACACGAATGCGTAGTGCGATCTTCATTGCTTGAAGGTAAACTGTATTTTTAACTTTGTCCCACTAAACAATGGAAACAGTTGCCATTAATTGACGCATTATAACATAAATATACATTGCACAAATGGCTTTTGGGATGGTTACCTGACCCATGGTTATCTTATCCTCAACAGCAATGAGTACCAAATAATCTTGAAACCACTGCCATGTGAATAAATGACATCAGACAAGGATGATTAGATGGCATATGGCCAGTATTTTCACCTTGAGTCAGTCATACCTTAGTCTTATGTGCTAGCTCTTCACAGAATTTGACATATGCTAGATCACTCTCATAGGTACTATAATTTGAGTGGTATTGATCCCAGTCCATGTACAAACCCTGCACAAAGAATACATTGTCCATTACTTGCACAAGTGGCATCTACTAGGACACTTGTACTAACCTAAACAGTATCTACAACAAGAATATACCAAATGCAGAAATATGGCACTTGCACAGAATGCCAGCTTGCAAACAATAGTATCCAACATGCCTGATGATATGAACTACCAAGTTAGTTTGCGGATAACATGGCAAAAAGCAAGTTTCATATGCAAATCCTACTGAATATATCAATAGAGTGATCTCAAATGAGTCAGTCAACAAACGAAGTATATCTCTAATCAAATACTTATGTTCCTTTTATCTCTAATCAAACATGTGCATTCAACATTTCAAAACTTTGATGCCATTAGATTTGCTACTTTTGTCAACGAAAGTAACCACAATGGCTAAACACACATATGCAGACCTATCATTGTCCAAAATGGCAGACAAACAATGTTATTTTGATTCTATCTCTCCAAATTATAAATGAATGGGCATTTGATGGTTTGCAGTTGCAAGAGAACATTGATTAGGATAAAAAGTTAAATACTAAGGCCCAGGGGTGAAACGGACCAAACAAAAAATTAATAGAGGTCAGATCAGCATCCATAAAGGTCAGATAGGGATAAAACCGAGACTGCTCTCATCGATGCAGGGCTTGTCCTGATTGCTAGGTGACTCTGATCAAGCTAGACCTAACTTTCAATAATTATGTATTGCTTGATTATACAGAAGTACATGTGCCGCTTAACTTGTCCCTTAAGAATACAATTGATATCTACATTCATAACAAACTATATCCATAATTCCTAACTAAACCAATACCTTCCTAGCTACTCCCTCCGTTTCATATTATAAGTCGTTTTGACTTTTTTATAGTCAAACTTTTTTAAGTTTGACCAAATTTATAAAAACAATATAGTAGCATTTTTTAACACAAAACAAACATATTATTAAAATTTATTCAACGTTACATTTAATGAAGTTAATTTCGTGTTTTAGATGTTGCTAATTTTTTCTACAAAGTCAGATTTAACAAAGTTTGACTAGAAAAAAAATCAAAACGATTTATAATATGAAATAGAGGGATTACAGATACCATACTAAATATCTATCTCTATCCTAGGAAAGTAATTGATCATTTAGGCACTACTCCCTCCGTTCTATTTCATATCATAGTCGTCTGACTTTTTTCTTAGTCAAACTTAATAAAGTTTGACAAGGAAAACAAGTCAAACGTCTTATAATATGAAATGGAGGGAGTAGATATTATTGTTGTCCAAGGTAAACTCCCTAATCCTATAAATGCAGTACGCATTTCTTTTCATATAACAGTATAAACGCTCTTAACAATAACAATGTTACAAAAGAATGTAACATAACTAGCCCAAATTTTAACCTTTACAATATTTTCGTTTAATTAAGTAAATTAAAATTGTGGTAGCATGGGTACAGCAACGCAATTGATTATACCACCAAGTACTGATAAAAATAAGCATTTAAGCTAGTTGTCATGGAGGAGTCAAGTGCCGATACCTACATTATCACAAAGCACTAGACGCTGGTAGTTATCAAGGGCAGCAGGCTGGAATCGTTCAGGATCAAAGTACCATTCAAGACTATCCTCATAGTACTGAAAGTACCCCTTCTCATAAAGAATGGAGGGAGGGTACTTCTCTTTCAGTTTTGCAATATCCAGTTCGTCAAGCTTTCTACCATTTGATAACTGCAACAGACAATAGGAAAGTAGTTTATAACAAGCAGAGAGATGCATCAAACTAAAATATACATAACTTTACTCATCCCAGGTGATGATAAAAGATACCTCATAACCTATGATGCGGTAGAAGGCCAGCTGCTCATGCAACTCAGTGAGCTGCTGTGGCCCATCGCATTCAAGCCAATCATCATCATCATCATCATCAAGATGGTCCTGAACATATAACTGATGAAAGTAGTAACTGACTTTGTTTGAGATGGTATCCTCATCCATGCCAAGGAGATCTTCTAAATCCTCCATTGATTCTTGTTCTTGTTTGTGTTCTCGTGAAATCTTGGCAAGGTCCCCAGAAGATGGTTTTGGCTCCCCCTCTATTGTTGATGTGCTTGTTCCATCATGAGAAGAGGATGGGCTACCACTGTGGCATGATAGATTTTCTGTGGATTCGTCCATCTTGCGCCTCTGCCTCTTCTTCTGTTTCTTCTTCTTCTTCGGCTTGCTAATTTCTTGTTGACTTGAGGATTTAACATCTTCAATGCTGTTTTTCTTCTGCTGTGCTTCATATCCAATATGCTTGCCCTTTCCCTTCTCAGCAGTGGGAGAAGAGTCCTTAGCTGCTTGCAAGTCAACCTTTTCCTTACCAGGAGGAGAACCATAGGCTTCAACTGCTTGCAAGTCACCCCTTTCCTTATCGTCTCCCTGTCCATCAGAAGCTGAAGCTGCAGCAGAGGCTTCTTCTCTGGATTGGCTAGCATCGTACGTGGGTTTGGTTTCCAGCTCCTTCGTGTGTGACAAATCCATCACCAACTCCGGATGCAAGTCCAACCTCGTCCTTTTAAGGAGCCACAACAAAAATTTCCACCTGTACTCATTCCACTCGCATACATACCTCAACTCCATACATATTTTGTCCATAAGCTTCAATCGGGCTATAACACCGCCATCCTCAACTCGACCAATCAACTGACCCCTCAGTAGCCTCAATTGGATTAGGGAATATTGCAACATCTTCATAGCATTATAATTCTTCTTCTTCTTCTTCTTCCTCCTCTTGAGCTGCCGATCAGGCCTCGCTTCGTCACCAGGCGAGCGGTGTTGGCCCCGCTTCCCGTCGCTTTCCTGTTGATCAGCGGGTGCATCTTGTCCGGATCCGCTAGCACCGCACGCGGGATCAGGTTCCTGGCAATAAATCTGCCACCGCTTCTCTGGATCAAGCTGCGGCGGCGTCTTGAGCATCTTCTCCCTGGAGTTGTAGGAGCAAGCAGGACGTCGAAACCCTAATATAACAAGCGAAAATAGTAGTCAAGATTAGGGGTTGGCTTCAGGAGCAATTCGAGGGAGTCGGCGGAGATTGATGATATAATATTTAGGGGGGGAACGAGTGGGATCTGGGGATTGTGGAGGCGATACCTTTCCGGTCTTCCGTGTGTGGTCGGCACCAGGGTTTCAAAAACCGCCGGGGGCCCGGTTACCGCCACCCGGCGGTACGGCGGTTACCGGCGGTACGGCGGTTACCGGCGGTAACCGCGGTAACCGCGCAAAACCGCGACAAATTTACAAATCGAAATTTGAATTCAAAAATTCGGGCAAACCGCGCGGTTTGGCGCGGTTACCGCGCGGTTTGACGCGGTAACCACGCGGTTTGGCGCGGTTACCGCGCGATGTGTAATGGGTTGCACAGTAACGGGCCGGCCCATTTTTTTTCTTTTTCCAATTTTCAAATTTATTCTCCGTTTTGCTCTCAAATTTGAATAAATATTACTCTTTTTTGAGAAATTTCTTCACCATAAAACACTATAAATCAAGCACTACCTTCACTATTTTTTTTGATTTTTTTCTTTTTTTTTTAAATTTTTGAATTTGGACGAATTTTATTAAACCGTACCGTGCGGTACGGGTAACCGTACCCCCGCGGTACGGGCGGTAACCGCGGTAACCGCGCGGTTACCGGCGGTTTTTCACACCCTGGTCGGCACTCGGCAGACGGATGCGAATCGAATCAGAGACGAAGGGGAAGAAAGAAGAAGGATAGAGGTTGGTAGGTCAGTAGTATAGGGGAGGAAGAAAAGGAGACGGGATTACTCGGTAGGCGTCTACTCTTTGAGGCCCACGCACCGCCGAGAGGACGCAAACGTAAAAGGCCCATAGATTGGCTCAGCCAGGGCGGGAATAAGTCTAATTTGTCTCCCTCAACTGCAAAACCGGGTATAACTCGTCTCCTAACTCCCAAAACAGTTGCAAATCAACTCCCGTAGCGGTTTTGGAGGTGGTTTCGTCCGACGTGGTAACTGATTCGCTGACTCATCAGGTGGGACCCGCTTGTCAGCGGCCTCCACCTTATCATCTTCTCCCTCACTTCTCCACCGAATTAAAGGCGGCTGTGTTTAGATCACGTCAAAATTGCAAGTTTGGTTGAAATTGAAACGATGTGATGGAAAAGTTAGAAGTTTGTGTGTGTAGAAAAGTTTTGATATGATGGAAAAGTTAGAAGTTTGAAGAAAAACTTTGGATCTAAACACAGTCGAAAACTTCTTTTTGTCGATATTGACAAGCACAAATCCGTGCACAAATTCATGGCTTTGGCTGGATTCAGTGTAATGCAGGCATGTAAGCCTGTTCCATCCACCAACAAACCGGTCGCGATCGCCGGCTACTGATCAGTAGCTGAAGCGAAGCAATCGACGCAGCTATAGCTGAGCTAGCTACCTGTCAAGCTGGCCGCAATAGCAGCAAGTACGGCCTCATGTTTACTAATAAATAAGGTAGACTTTATATCTATAGTAATAATTCTAAGAAAATTTGAACTTCAAAGAGACAACAATTCTAAGACAGAGGGAGTAGAAAACAGAACATGTTTTAACATCATTAGATAACATTGTTTCTCGCAGGGCGACAAGAACGAACACTGAATTATTTACATTTAATAACAGCATTCGCATCCAGAGCATGAGTTTTCCAAAATAACACTACTGCATACATTTAATAACACCATTCGCATCAGTATTCCAAAATAACACTACTGCATACTACTCATTGGTAGTAGGCGGGCTGACTGTGCCTGGAGTGGTAGGCGGGCTGACTCTGGCTGGCGTGGCTGGCTTTGTTGTAGACAGTTCCTTTGGTGGTAACTGAATCAACACAAGAACAAAATGGGAATGAATGAAAACAGAAAACACAGCAAAAAAAAAAAAACATAAGGACTTCATCCTCATCAGAGTAAACAGGAGGCGTCCGCGCGGATGGGGCTGCACTACGAGCAGTACGACGCGGAGGGGCACGAGAGCTCGCTGAGCCGCAAGTACGGCCTCCGCGACGTGGTGGTGTCCGACCCGGAGGCCGCCAAGCGCGACAAGGGGTGGGGCTTCGTCGCCCGCGTCTACCTCGGCGGCCAGAACGTCACCCTCGACCTCTCCAGGTTCCGACACACGCTCACCAGGCTGCACGCGCGCGCCCTGCGCGTACGCTCGTTGCACCCAGCGCCGTAGACGGATTATCGGATAGCAGCGGCAGAAGCAGCCATGGATGAATCCATCGGTTTCTCGAGCGGATAGACGTACGTGACAAGTGCTCCATTGCAACTAGCTGTTTAGGCCTACTACCACTACACAAACGAGATGGACTACCTTCAGCCAGAACATGTAAGTACTAAACCCTTTTATCGTAGATGAAAATGGTAACTTACTCTATAATACAAAATTTAACTAACTGTTTATTGTGTTGGTGCAGGTGGTGTGGAGGCCATATGAGGCACAAGAAGTAGTCGAGCTAGACATCAACCCTATGTGCCACATAGAGGATACGTTGCAAACCTTGCGGTGCCCACTGATTTGCTTCTATGCAGTGGAGTTCCAGCTATGCAACCGCATAATGCGGCAGTTCGGGAGGCTTCAAACAATCCCGCACCGTTTCTCCACTAGTATCGACCTCCACAAGTAAGTACTTTGAGTTAACAGACCAAATCGATTTGATGCCATCCTCAAATTGTTGACTTGTCTATTTTGCATATGTGCAGGGTCGATCGTCGGAAGAACAAGAAGGTGACTGATTGGACTTACTACCATCAAGATCATATCACGCAATGGGAGAAATTCGATGAGAACGGAGTACCGGACCAAGGTCAGCACAACAGGACGAAGTTCGATGCATACTTGGCGTGGCTCCATAGGAACTATCGTCTTGTCCTACGCCCGGCCTGGACGCTAGCCGACATAGCGGACGACCCTGAAGATGTGGAGGAGCAGAACGAGTACGACACTCGAACCCGTGAAGGTACCACGGTTGAGACAGGACCTCTTCGCGATAGAGTGGTGAGTACTTGCCATGTTATGTTATTTGCACGCTCTCGCTTTAATTTTTGTGACTTTTTGCACTTTCTAACCTTACAGGCACAAGAGCTCTTGCGGACCGTCAACGACGCGGGAGTGGCGCTTGGAACGGCTCCCCAGACTGGATGGATGGAATGGCTGGAATGGATGGATGGTTTCTAAAAGTTGTGTTCCTGTGCTGCTGAAATAGGTTGCTATGCGGTGTTAAATGTATTTTTCCTGGGCAGAGAGCAGTTTGCTGTGCTGGCTCAAAGTGTTTGCATCCTCAGCGCCAACACAAATGGCGCTGAAACAACAAACATCAGCACCATATCAGTTGGCGCTGAAATAGGCAATGTCAGCAGCCACCAAAGAAACAAAGTGAAGTGCCAAGATTCTTTGGCGCTGACATCGGGCATCTCAGCGCTGAAGCTTGTGGCGCTGACATCCCTGCCACGTCGGCACGAGGAGTCGCTCGGCCGCCACGGTGGCACAATGTCAGCGCCAAGCATGTTGGCGCTTTCATGCACAACATCAGCGCCAAGACCCTTGGCGCTGAGCCGACGGCTTATTTTTGGTTGAAGTTTTTGGCAGAGGTTAGTTTCGAAATAAGTTTTTGAAAAGGGTCAATTTGTCAAAACGCAATGGATGTGAGTAGTTCAGTACTTACAGTCACGGATAGAAGATCTCGACACGGCAAGGAGAGGAAGCTGAATTAGGCCACTAGAGGAGATCCAAGCGCGCCGTGGTCATCAAAGCATTTCGCATTGACGAGCAGCCTCAACTAGAGCTGCAAGAGGAGAAATTTCAGGAAACAGGGTGAGAGAGAGAGAGAGGCGGACACTGTACTGGAAGAAAACCACAAAATGGTTGCGTGATTCAGTTGTGATTCGGAGGGTGAACTTCACTGGAAATTGCAGACACGACGAACATTCGGATCTTCAGCCGAAATTCCCAGCGTGGACTTCGAGGAAAACTACCCCCTTGGACCTTGCTCCCTTCCTGCGCTGACCTACTTTGCGTCGGCAATGACGAGCTGCAACGAGTCAACGACCACCCCGATTTCGCCAACGGCGACTTCGCGAGGCTTCAGAACGGCCATCAGATATCATCCGGCAAGGCGGCAACGCCTCCCGCTCCGACGTGGTTGGCGATGGCGCTGAGGACTGCTCGCATGCTAACCCTAGATACAGAAGCGCCGCGATTCCCTCGATCGCCACGACGGGCCGTGGCCACAGCGAGTCGGCGACGGTGGCCGAACCATGGAAAAAGTCCACTTTACATCCCCATCGTATGGGAACTCGGCCCCGTTGTCCTATCTTCCATATATTTATGGCCCATCATATGTGTGGTGTTAGTTGGCCCAACAAATAAAATCTACATATCTTATATTTTCGTTCTTTAATTTATAAGGGGATATCCTCTCATTCTATTTAGTTATATGATTTTTTTTGACAGCATTAACATGTGTTGTTCCCCAGATTCATTAACGAAACTGACAAAAACATCTCTTGCAAGATAATCTTTAAAAAATAAAAGGAAAAGGGGCAGATGAAGACCTCATCAACATCTCCTAGAACCAAATACTCAGAACCTTAGATACCAAGGAGAAGCAAATTGACATACTGCATCCACTCACCCTGTCCCAAATGTAGGCCATATGATTTGATCCAATACAAATAGGATCAATCAAGACAAAAGGATTATATGCTAGTTTGTTGTATCATTGACGAGTCTGTCTTTTCAAATGGTCCCATAGAGGATAGAGCTATATACCAGTTTGTTCTATAAAACAGTATCATTTGGAGTCTTCCATTTGGCCCAGCAGATGGCATCAAAGCCTACCATTACCGAAGTCCTCTTTGACTGATCAAACTTCATCATAGATGTGAGAGGCCATTTAATTTTCAGAACCCACAGAATTTTCAGAAGTTTGGACATGTTGTAAATTAAGTTTGGCCATTTTTATAAGACTCTCGTTTCTGTCGTTGGTGCAAATTTTGTAAAGTTTGTTTTATTTCTACCTTGGCATTGCGTCAAAAATTTCTATCTTGGTAGAATGATGGGAGCTCTCCTACCAATTCATCACAAAATTCACCTTGCAAACTACTTCTACACGCCATCCCCTCCTCTTTAAATTACATAAACACACACTAGTTTTTAATGGAACCTTCACCTTCCATATAAATTTAAAAGGGAAAGGATATATAGCACTAATTTTCATAGCCACGTAAAAAGTGAACTGAAGACTGCTTCTTCTGAAGCTTGATTACACTTCAGATGCAAGCTACTTTGTCCTCTCTGTTGACGAACTAGCTGGTTTACCTGCTATATATATATCGAACGGTTCTTTTCGTCACTGTGTTGCGAACTTGCGATACTGTAATTACTAATTAGTGTTCTGCTAAAAGAAGATGGCCGTCGGCTGGCGGCACCGATTCATCAGTTTGCCATCAGCAATCAAGTTGTACTTACAGTATCGGTGGGACCGTGGCATGCTTAATCAACACTATGGGCTGCTGGTTTTAGAGCCGTGTGCTCTTTGTGCAGCCATACGTGTTGACTACAGAGAAGATTCTAGCTTAATTAGGTTGGTGCGACGTTTCCCTGAACTCTCATGTGCTGGTGCAAAGCAGATGGGATTGTTATTCAGAGAACACGACATTTATATATGCCCCCAAAATAATAGTGATAATGATAGGAGCTCTACTATTGATGCTGCTTTACAATAATATCATTTTTGTTCTGCTTATACATCGCGACATCGGATGTATACATATTATATACACACGGAAAGTATGGAACCGTGTACTTCTGAAATTCTTTCAGTAAGAAGCCTGCACTTCAGATCTTTCTCTACTCCCGTGTCTTTAATCATTGTTAATAACATTATCCTGAACTGCGTATATGGTTGGCAGCTCGTGCATAAACTAATCTATCTATCCAAAAAGCGTGACATAGTTGAGAAATCTCGTTAGAATAGTTAAGGAGTCTCAAGTCACTTCACGGATTCGTGCTTGTCAATCTCGACAAAAAGAAGTTTTCATGGCTTTGGCTGGATTCGGTGTAATCGTTTCCCCTGTTCCATCCACCAACAAACCGGTCGCGATCGCCGGCTACTGATCACAAGCTGAAGCGATCGACGCAGCTATAGCTGAGCTAGCTGTCAAGCTGGCCGCGATAGCAGCGGGTGCAGCCGTTTTTCAGAGTTCGGGATGCGTCATGACGTCGTGAGCTGGTTGATGATCATATCTGTTCGATCGGTGGCTAGCTTTAATTTGCTTCATCCTAGGCATTCAGATTTTTGGCTTCAACGACCGTTTTCGGTGCAGCCATGTGCGACCTTGCTAATTTCACCGATGATCAATCAATCGTTCGCGTGTGGGAGTTTTGGACTGGACGAAGCAACGACTGTCAATATTAATTTGGCTTAATGACCAGGTCCAAATGGGTACAGATTTCTGTATCACAGATTAGTAGGAGTACATATAGGAAAACCTGATCATTTAGCTAGCTAGAATGCCCTGTCATTTGGTCAATGACGGCAAGACAGTTAAGAGGAGTACAAATTGATGAAAGGAACCTGCAACATGGACAGAGGATGGGTTTGATAACAGAGAGAGCGACCAAGCACCTACCATTATTCCTCTGACGAGTACTAATGCACTATATGTATTCATTTTTTTTACACTTATTCCATTCCATGCAAGGATGTCATTCGAGAAAGAATATGAATATATGATGCATATCATCATGTGTCATTTGAGGAAGAACATGCATGCGTAAGACTCTTATTAATTAATTGCCGCCTGTTTTAGCTAGCCTTTGTCATATACCAAAACCACACCATTAGATTAGTCAACACGTATCTCTGCTATCTTAACATGCAGTAGTTACGGTTACAGAAACTGACCACACTAAATTAGTATGTAGTATACACAGGCATACAGCGACAGCACATAACATATATTGCAGGAAGAAACCAGCATCGACCAAAAATGTTACGTTTCACACCTTGAAACCGGCGATCGCGCTGTGAGTGAAAATGGCGCAAACCGATCGATCCATCCATCGTCTACCTGTACGTACGTATATACCAAGCTAGTTAGGAATTAGACGACCTTTTCTACATGCATATAGTACTTGACATAGTCCCTAATTTACAACTTGATTACAAACATCTAGTTCTAGTACTGGACACTGTCCTAACTCCTGAGTTCTACAACGGACGAGGATGTAATTCATCTTGTTTGTTAGAATTCACGCTAAAAATAAAAAAGCTTTCTTGTTACTACATCCATCCTAAAATATAGTAATTTGGTACCGTCCTATAAATTTAAGCATATACTTCTATATTCAATTCGACATATTAGGATGTCCTATATCTCATGACGAGACGGAAAAAAAATGATTACACGTACAAAATGTACACGTGTCACTCTATGGGGCGATGAGTTCCAGGTAGATAGGTGCAGGTGCCGAACGATTGGACAGGAACCAGAAACGGACGCCGTCTCGGTCTTGCCAGCGAGATAGAACTAGAATTTATCCAATCAATCTGTAGTATCACCACCATTCACCAATCACCACCAGTGACCGCGCCGACCAGTGAGACGACTCAGCCGCCGAGCCTCTCTTTAAATATCCACACGATCGATCGAGACGCCGCCGTGCCAGGTAGTATACGCGATTCCTTTCCATTTTTCCCCCACACGCCAAGTCCGTCCATCTCGCCAACGCGAGACATGGCCTCCAAACTCCCCGACCTCGGCGGCGGCGGCGTGGAGGACGGCGGCGGCAAGAAGTGGCCGGGGTTCGTCCAGTTCTTCTTCGTCCTCTCCGTCGTCCTCTGCGTGCTCCTCTACGCCCCGCGGTTCATCGTGCTCACGCCCACCTATGGCCTCGACTTCTTCCCCCAGCCGCCGCCCAACGTCACCACCTCGCCCGCCCGCGTCGTGGGAGATCATAATGCTGGCGAAGTGGTGGTTCTTGACAACCAGCTGCGCTCGCCGTGCTCGTCGCTCGCCGGCGACACCATCTGCTGCGACCGCTCGGATTTCAACACCGACGTCTGCTTCATGGCCGGCGACGTGCGGACGGACCCGTCGTCCCTGTCGCTCCTGCTGTTCCCGAAGCAGCCGCCGGCGGCGAACGCCACCGTGGAGGAGAGGATACGTCCGTACACGCGCAAGTGGGAGGCGCTCATCATGAGCAGGGTAGAGGAGGTGCGGCTCCGGATGGCCCCGCCGGAGGAGGAGCCCGGCCACCGGTGCGACGTCCGGCACGACGCGCCGCTCCTCGTCATGACGGCGGGGGGCTACACCGGCAACCTCTTCCACGCGTTCAGCGACGGGTTCGTGCCGGCGTGGCTGACGGTGCAACACCTCCGCCGCCGCGTCGTGCTCGGCGTCCTCTCGTACAACCCGTGGTGGGCGGGCACGTACGGCGAGATCATCTCCGGCCTCTCGGACTACCACGTCGTCGACCTCCTCCACGACAAGCGGACGCACTGCTTCCCCGGCGCCATCGTCGGCACACGCTTCCACGGCATCCTCTCCGTCGACCCGGCGAGGCTCCGCGACAACAAGACCATCGTCGACTTCCACGATCTCCTCGCCGGCGTGTACGAGACCGCAGGAGACACCGTCGTCGTCGACGACGTTACTCAGCCGGCGCCACGGCGGCCACGGCTCGGGATCGTGTCGCGCAGGGGGACGCGGGTGATCGAGAACCAGGCGGCGGTGGCGCGGCTCGCGAGGTCGGTGGGGTTCGACGTGGACATCCTGGAGACGGCGAACGGGCTGCCGCTCCCGGCGTCGTACGCGTCGGTGAGCGCGTGCGACGTGCTGGTGGGGGTGCACGGCGCCGACCTGACCAAGCTCCTGTTCCTGCGCCCCGGCGCGGCGCTGGTGCAGATCGCGCCGCTGGGCGTGGCGCCGATCGCGCGCGGGTGCTACGCGGAGGCGTCCGCGCGGATGGGGCTGCACTACGAGCAGTACGACGCGGAGGGGCACGAGAGCTCGCTGAGCCGCAAGTACGGCCTCCGCGACGTGGTGGTGTCCGACCCGGAGGCCGCCAAGCGCGACAAGGGGTGGGGCTTCGTCGCCCGCGTCTACCTCGGCGGCCAGAACGTCACCCTCGACCTCTCCAGGTTCCGACACACGCTCACCAGGCTGCACGCGCGCGCCCTGCGCGTACGCTCGTTGCACCCAGCGCCGTAGACGGATTATCGGATAGCAGCGGCAGAAGCAGCCATGGATGAATCCATCGGTTTCTCGAGCGGATAGACGTACGTGACAAGTGCTCCATTGCAACCAGTTGTTTAGGCGATTGCTAAGGCGACGGCCGGAGATTGGCCATGGTGCTGTAAGGATAGCCGTCTGGCTCTGCAGCGCATACAGTTGGACTCGAAACGTATACCAGTTGGTAGCTTTTTAAGGGCGAGGTGCCAAGTTAGGATATAACTACTACTCTCTGGATATTGGTAACTATTAAGGCATTAAATTTATTTCTTGGAATACAATTTTTGTTTTGCTACATATCTTTAACTTTCATTGATATTAATTTTCTGTTATATTTCTAGCAGGGAAGGGGAGAACATATATGATACCAGATAATTAACATTTATCGTAACTTGCATATGAAACAACTAGAATGGAATATATGTGATACTAGATAACACCCTGCGCGTTATTGTCGGAACATGAAACAATCAAGATAAATCAGTACAAACAATTAGCAATAACTGCAAGTAGTGGATACTAATAAATAAGCTAGACTTGATATCTATAGTAATTAGTAGGAAACGATAATTGCACATAATATATTGACGGTTGAGATTGAATACGTAAAGAACTAACGTTTCTTGTTCGGTCGTCTTTTTTCCCGCGCAATCCAGTTTATCACATGCGGTTTCTTTTGCACCTTTTTTTTTCACTTTTACAGCTCTCATCTCCGACGTAGCAGAATCGAACTCACCTGATTGTTCTTTCAACAAATTTAAATTGATAATTCATTTTTTCCATAGTTATGTATGTTTCATTAAACTTGTGCAATTTTTTCCCCATATTTCATAGTGACATATTTTGTAACATGTGTGGGGTAAATATAATTCCAGTCAGCACATGACATGAGCACAAACCAAAAGATATTACCCATTGCGCGAACTCAAAAGGAAACAAGCTAGTGTATTTCCTTTGTTTATTTGTTTTGGTAACTCAAACATATTTGCTCGATTTCGCGTGCCACACATAGGCAGTGTGCGGGGGAAGAAGGGATGTGGAGTAGATGAACTGGAGGATGGCGTTGACAGCGATACGCCGGATATGGCATGGCAGAACAGCACCGGGCGATGTGGGGAGCAGCCAGGCAGGACAGCTACTTGCTCGGTTGTGTGTCTAACTGCGGCTGTGCCGTGCGAGAGATGAGAGTGACATGAGAGGCATGGGGCTAGCTGTGCACGCGAGTTTGATGGCGCAACGCACAACTAGAAGTGGCTCGATCGATCGATCGCTTGGTGACAAGCAGGCCGTACAACGTTGATTGCCCTGTCAAGGCTACGTAGCCGCCGGTGCTCTCGGGTAACGTGGCCCTCAGCTGAATTTGTCGTCTTTCTGGACTCGGGCCTGGTCGAGCGACGTTGAGGAGGTTACTTTTCTTCGCCCAATTCTTGACCACCGGCGTCAATGCTATTCTATCTGGTTGGCTACGCACTTGGCACACGTTTACACAACAAAGTTATATGGTCGCTCGAAGTTGCTTCTTTGCTTCGATGTGCAAAGCAACGCGCGAATGCGCCATGTTTTCCCGACGAGCCAGCCTTTATTAGGAAAAAGTACACCGTCTCTCAACTTGTTATCGAGTTACAAAATCGTCCCCCAACCGTAAAACCGGATATAACGTATTTCCCAACTTACAAAACCAGTGCAAACTAGATCCCTCGGCGGTTTTAACTCCGGTTCTGTTCGATGTAGCAGTTGACTCAGCATGGGCCCCACGTGAGACTCACATGTCAGCCTCTTCCTCCCTTCCCCTCTCCACATCTCTTCCTCTCTCCTCTCTTCTCCTTTCCATGGGCGGGTGGCGGGCACAGGTGGTGGTGGGAGAGGCAATGCGGGAGAAGGGGAGCCGAGGCAGGGGCCGGGATAGGGGCGACACGGGGCGAGGCGGGAGAAGGGGAGCCGACGCGCTGCTCCTCTGACCTCACCCTCTTGCCTCGTCCAGTGGCGGCGGGGATAGGGCGACGTCGATGGTGACCTCGTTGGGGAAGTAGTGCAGGCGACGGCGAGGAAGGTAGAGGTCGAGGCAGAGTCGTGAGGGGGAGCACCGTCGGCGAGGCGTTCATGCAGTTGCTGCTCTGACTCAACGGCCTCGAGCAAATCTGCACATGCCGGCGGTTTGCGTGGTTGCCAACGACGCCTGCTCCTGCACCGTCGCTGCCATCGCAAGGCCCTCCCCAGCCGCTGGCCTCCTCCTCTCCCGCCTCGTCCCAGCCTGCTCTCGCGCCACCGACGTGCTCTCCCCCTGTGTTCCCCTGTCGCGCCTCTTCTTCCCCTCCCCTCTCCACCTCCCTCCCTCTCTCCTCCCCTCTCTATGGGTGGCTCCCGGCGCAGAGCAACTAGGCGTGGGCGGCCGGGGGAGGAGCTGTGTGGTGGCAGCGGGTGGTGTGGGCGTTCTTGGTGTGTAGAACGCCTTAGATGCGTGTGGGTAGCGGGCGGTGGGGAGCAACTGGGTTGGGCGACAGGGGAGGAGCGGCGCGCGGGGAACAACTAGGCGCGGGCAGCGGGAGAGGAGCTGCTCTGGCGCCGCCCACGCGCAGGTACTCCCCCGCAAGCCGCCCGTGGAGAGGAGAGGAGAGGAGAGAGGAAGAGAGGTGGAGAGGGGAAGGGGAAGAAGAGGCAGATGTGTGGGTCCCACGTAAATCCCATGCCGAGTCAGTTGCCACGTCGGACAAAACCGGAGTCAAAACCGCCGAGGGATCTAGTTTGCACTGGTTTTATAAGTTGGGAGATACGTTACATCTGGTTTTACGGTTGGGGGACGATTGTGTAACTCGACGACAAGTTGAGAGATCTTCGGTGTAATTTTTCCCCTTTATTATCATCAGTAAAGCGATTTCACATAGGCAGATGGCCACTGACCGCTTAGCTAAAATGGGCCCATTATCAAATATTACGAGGCCCAGAAAGAGAGCACTGTTGGTAAGGCCTACTCCAGAAAGAGAGCCCAGTAAGAGATGGCCAGTGACCGCTCAGCTAAAATGGGCCAATTATCCTGCTAGAGTATGCGCCATGGAGTACTGACTTACGTTTGGAACGGCCGAACGGGGATACTCCAGTTTCACTTTTACATTGAGCAGTGCTACAGCCTACACCTACCCCTGCTAGAAAACCTTACAAACAAATATTACTCCGTATCAACCTTTGATTTGATTTAACTAGATGAGTTCTGTAAGAAAAAAATTGTAGGTATATCTTCTCCCTTTTAAAAACTTCGTAAATCCGATGGGAGAATCACTCAAAAAGAGAAAAATGAAAGAAAGAGAGAGAGAGAGAGAGATTGCAGACATGCAGAACTGAAAAGAATTACAGAAGAATGGATTCTGCCTGAACCTTGGTGTACAACAACAAATGTGCTCTTCACTTCTTCGGAAGCAAAGCTAAAAATAAAGGGCTCACCCTATCAAGCAACTCACGAAAACCAGAGATTATTCGCGAACAGCAAAGCAGTAAACTCAACAGCAGAAGTCCAAAAGGAATCATAAGCTAAAGTCTGAAAGGCATCATCATCATAGCAGATTAGATGGAGTCCAACGACTTTGCTAAACGCGTCAAAGTTGGATGTAGGTGTATATAATATCAGAAATAAACTCCACGTCAGACTATCCGTCATCACCAAGAAAAAAAAACTTGGAATACGGCAATCAACTTGAGCTTTCAACGTGAGCAAGACCTGATGTTACCTCTTTCAGCACAGCGAACGACGTGAAACTGCAAAGATAGTTTCTTGGTCAATGCAACTGAAATAGGGAGTATAATAACAGTAGAAAAGACATCACCTTGTCGAGACCTCCAAACATTGCAAAATTAGGACGAGATTTTGTTATTTTCACTCCATCCATATTCTGAATTTCTAAGTCGAGTAACATGGACGTGGCAATTCGAAAGTACAGATGCGTATCCTGAATAACTCTGTCGACTAATATGCTCTTGACGAACTGATCCTGTCCATATCCAAATCTTATACTCATTAACTTATATATCCTTCAATGATGCGTATCCTGAATAACTCTGTCGACTAATATGCTCCTGACGAACTGATCCTGTCCATATCCAAATGTTATACTTATTAACTTATATATCCTTCAATATATGTACAAGGAGTCCACTAATAGAATGAAGCTCTGACTTCGCTACAGTTGAGAGCAAACGGCGCTGACTGATACTATTATTTGTAGAGTATCACTACTACCGACTTTCCTGTTTACGAATATGATTAATTTTGGTGTTCCGTCGTTTTCAAGTGTTAAGCACCCGACAAGCAAGAGGAAGAATCTGAATCCTTACAGCTCTTACCATTAAACTCCTTCCGACTTTCCCGTCAGATAGCAGCCGCGCGAGTTGACAGTCGGATTTGGATGGGTAGGTGGTGCAATGCAAATGTCCTACTCTGTTTAATGCCAAACCACCCACAATCGAAATCAGTGGTATTCAAAGGAATATATCCTGGAAAAATCCCAGGTACTTGTAGTTTTCCATTTGCTTGTTTGATTTAAGTCACAAAAATGAGATGGAAGCAACTTAGGGTCAACCAATCAGCGGTTATAGTAACTGAACTTGTTCTGTACATATCATGATCAAACCCATCAAAGATGCGCATGTCTGCCATTGGCTCTCCATTTTTTTTTAAAAAAAAGAAGCACTTCAAAAGTTAAAACCGACAGCGTAACTAGAACGAAAGCAAGCAGCGTAGCGTGGTTTCAAACCGCGCGGGAAAAGGTAAATAATTGGCGGTAGAAACGTTCAAGCCCACCACCACGAGCGTTACAGGTAAAGAAAGAAAGAAAGGCACGCGTCATCTTCCTTCCTACTCACGCCGCCGTCCGATCCATCAACCAACCGACTAGAGGAGCCGCACACAAGTTTCCCAACTACTCCGGGAACGGATCGAGCCTAATCCGCCACTTCGCATGCACGCCATCCTCGCCTCGCCGAGAGAGAGAAGCGATCGATATGGAGGTGAAGCTGCACGCGGCGAGGAGCCTCGTCGGCAGGCTGCGGGGTGCCGCCGCGGTGCACGACGGGGCGGCCACCGCCGTCGCCATCGCCGAGATCCGCCACGCCACCAAGGACGACCCGGACATCCGGGCGCCGCTCGCGGACGCCGGGGCGGTGCCGTTCCTCGCCGCGCAGCTCACGGCGCCGTCCGCCGCCTCCGAGGACGCGGCGGCCGCGCTGCTCAACATCTCCATCTCCGCGCGGGGGCAGCTCATGTCCGCCCCCGGGCTGCTGGATGCTCTCACGGCGGCGCTCCGGGCGGACGAGTACTGCGCCGCCCACCACGCCGCCGCCACCGTGTATAGCCTCCTCTGCGTCGAGGCCAACCGCCCCGTCGTCGGCGCCAGGCGGCCGTTGCTCGCCGCGCTCGTCTCCCTCCTCCGGGCGGCGCCCAACACCCGCGCCACCAAGGACGCGCTCAAGGCGCTCTTCGCCGTCGCGCTCCACCCGCCCAACCGCGCCACGCTCGTCGGCCTCGGCGCCGTGCAGGCGCTCTTCGCGCTCATCATGACGGACGGCCGGAGCGGCATCATGGAGGACGCCACCGCCGTCGTCGCGCAGGTCGCCGGGTGCGCGGAGAGCCTGGACGCGTTCACGAGGATGTCCGGGCTGCGCATTCTCGTCGACCTCGTCGAGCAAGGTGGCGCGTCGACACCAAGAACAAGGGAGAACGCGGCGGCCGCGCTGCTCAACCTTGTCGTGGCCGGCGGCGAGCGCGCCGTGGCGGAGGTGATCGCGGTGGGCGGCGCGGAGGACGCGGTGAGGGAGCTCGCGGAGGACGCCACGGCGAGCGCGAGGGGGAAGGCGAAGGCGGAGTCGCTGCTGCGGGCGTTGGAGTGCGGCGGCGCGAGGCGGCGAGAGCACCGGCTCGCCGACTTCCTGAACGGGCTGGTGCAGTCCGACCCGTACATCTCGTCGCCGGCGTCGGCGTCGACGCACGGGTAAACGGCTGACGCGCTAATCTTAGACCTTTGCACGTTTACCTTTCTGTTCCTTCTGTAGCAGTGACGTATTTTAGATTGGATAATGACGTTCTCCGTATTATATATTTTTTGGAAAGCTAGGATATTATATTTATTCATCCTTTGTAAATACGTCTACTATAAGTAGAGCCTAGGGGGTGTTTTGGGGCAATTACTCTGGGTCTAATGACTAATGTAAGGCTAATTAAGTTGGTGCGGATCCCATTGTTGATACATTTTTTTTAGCAGTGCAGTGCTCCTATGCCTGGGCCTTGTTTGGATCCTCTGGGCTATTAAATATCCCTCTGAAATCTTACTATTTAGAAGTATTAAACGTAGATTAACGACAAAATCGATTCCATAACCCCTAGGCTATTTTGCTAGACGAATCTAATTATGTATATTAATCCATGATTAGCGGCTAATTATTGTAGCATCACTGTAGCAAATCATGGATTAATATACCTCATTAGATTTGTCTCGCAAAATAGCCTAGGGGTTATGGAATGGGTTTTGTCAGTAATCTACGTTTAATACTCCTAAATAGCAAGATTCCGGAGGGCTATTTAATAGCCTCCGGATCCAAACAGGGCCCTTGTTTGGTTCCATGGGCTAATGTTTAGCCCTCACCTTTTAGCCTCAAATTAGCCCTCAAGAATCCAAACAGATAGGCTAATTTTGAGCTAATGTGAATTAGCTCCCCTCAAAACATTAGCCCCTCCAAGGGGGTGCTAATGGGATTAATTTTGTCTGGGGACGATAAAAAAGCAGCTCTCTCTCTGCTTCTCTCTCCTCTCTTTCTACTCTCTCCACCTTTTAGCCTTAAATTAGTCCATATATCCAAACATACCACCCTAAGCTAATGTTTAGCCTACTAATTCATAACTAAACATTAGATTTTAAAATTAACCATGGACTAATCTTTCATACATGGCCCTAATCATCTTTCATGCTCATGATCATCAAGAAAGAGTCAATTATTGACCCATGCACAAAGTTTATAGGCTTATTATGGCACGTCGAGAAAAAGATTGGCTTGTGTTTTGTGAAACACGAGGCTTCCTAGGATTTGACCACGTCAAAACATCGAGACGGTCCAAGGATTTTGGGGTAGACACGCCGTCGTGGCATCGTCGTCAGCGCACGCTTGATGGGCCTACGTGCGCATTGGGAGCCTTTTAGGCCGTGTGAGGTTCACTGCGCTGGGTTGGGCCACACGACAGATTTGGGCAATCTACTTGGGCCCAACAGCAAAGCCAGCAAAATATTGGGCTGGATGGTTTAGTTATCAGCTTACCAGGCCGGCCTATCTCTCTTGAACCCTTGGAATGCGGAATTTTTTTTATTTATACTTTTTTTTATTAAAATATTTACAAAAATAATTTTATGTTTCGAAAATTTACAAATCTAATCGCCCGCCGCCCTTTGGGAGGGCGATTTTTAAAAATCGCCCTTCCAGAGAGCGGCAAGGGACCTAAATGCAAAATTTTTATTTGTGTTCAAACCCTTTCCACCAGTTTTAATTGCTTAAAAAACTAATAATGCTTATTCGATACTCCAAATGATTTTAAATGGAAAAGTGATAAACTGCAAAGTTATAGATCTCATCAAGATCTACAACTTTTATATAAATTTTATCTCCATCCAATGTCGTTTGAAATGTAGATCTGAGATTTTTTAAAATATTGTTTGGATATCTAAAACATCTTAAATGAAAAAGTTGTTAACTACAAAGTTGTAGATCTCCTTGAGCTCTACAATTTTGTTATAAAGTTTTATTTCATCTGACTTTATATAATATAATTTTAAATTGTAAAATCATATAGCTAACAAGTTGTGCTGGAAAATTTGCATTTAGGTCCCTTGCCGCCCTATAGAAGGGCGATTTTTAAATATCGCCCTTCCAAAGTGCGGCAGGCGATTAGATTTGTAAATTTTTGAAACAAAAATTATTTTTTTAAATATTTTAATAAAAAAATGTATAAATAAAAAAAATTCTGGAATGCGTGTGACAACTCTTGCTATGCTCGTGTTAGTCAGAGCAAGGATAGTCAGCGACAGTGCATACAAAGCCAGACTCTATACGCATACTATAACATCTGCTTATACTAATACTAGTAATAGTCAATACATAAAGGACATCCTCTATACACATACTGTAATATAAATGGGTCTGCTCAGCTGCTATATACAACTGTTGTGCTGCCGCGGCTACAGATACAAGACACTACTCACTCTCATTCATAATGTAAGACTTTCTAGCATTATCTATATTAATGAATCTAAACACATACATATATCTAGATTCATTAATATTTAAATGAATGTGGAAAGTCTTACATTATGAAACGGAGGAAGTAGTTGGCAGCAGTACAGTAAAAAATTTACAGCCCAACAGAGGCAATAAGCTGTGTTTAATTTCACGTCAAAATTGAAAGTTTAAAGAAAAAAGTTAAAATTTTATGTGTGTAGAAAAGTTTTAATGTGATGAAAAAGTTATAAGTTTAAAGAAAAAGTTAGGAACTAAACTAGGCCTAAGTAAAACTTTTATACTTTTGGTTTTTGGTGGGGTCGGTATGTACTATACCTCCTTTTTCTCTTTGATATGGGTCAAGTTGTCAGCGTACCTAGGGGTTGCAGACGCGCTAGCTTCCTTCCTTCTCTCACATCTGCTTTTTCCTCTTCCACGTCAGATTATTACGACGCATACAGATTAATCGTTCGTTTATTAGCCTGTGCTCTTTTTTCGCGAACGCAATGAGCATGTGCTCTCAGGCTGCTGGAACAGTCAAGTGAACTCTAGGACTACTCTGCTGGCTGCATCTGCATGGATAAAACATAAATTACTCCGTATCTTATAAATTGCGACGTAACTGATGAGATCACCGCATGGATAGTCTCCTTCTTGCTGCTGCGGGCAACTGGTTGAAACTTGAAAACAGCATTCACTATAATGTTCTTCAACCGTGATGAAGATAAAGATTAAGTATAGATATATAAAACGAGAAAACCATTAGCACATACTTAATTGAGCTTTAGTCATTTTAAATCTAAAAATATAATTTATCTAATATTTTAGAGCAACTTATATATAAAAAATTTCCGTACGAAATATACCGTTTAGCACGTAGTTTGAAAAAAGTGCTAACAAAAATCAAGCTAAAATCTGTAGCTTGTAATTAGGATTCTCATTTCAATGGACAGGAAAAAAGAGATTAGGAATGCTTATCTTCATATGAGACGTTGAACAGAGGACCATCACACGAAAACAAAACAGTAAGCATAATAAGTTAAGTATACTATAAATGTGTCACGTCCCGAACTAGTACCGACCGGAACTAGCCCGTGACGCTCCAAATTAACCTGTTAATCGATACCAGTCCCAGGAAACAGTGCTGGTATCACAGGAAGACGGATTATCACAGCAACAGAGGTCTCTTTATTATAGAGTAGAGGTACAGTCATGTTGGGCTGCGGACAGATCCCAAGCTCATAACTGCATTACAAAAGGGAAACGGAAGCCAGGACTTGGACCAAACAACACAGGCGCGACTTGGGAACTAGGCCGAAACCCTAAAACTCATCGTAGCCGGCTTGCTCCTGGAAGAACTCCTCATCAGCAGGATCCGCTTCATCTTCTTCAGCAACTGGGGGGGATTATTTATATAGAGCAAGGGTGAGTACGGGAGTACTCAGCAAGCCATGGGAATTAAGTGTTTAATGCAGGCTTCAAGGAAAGGCTGTTGTTTTTGCAATTGATTTTATTTGAACTCCTTTCTGAAAACAACTAGGTGAGTGCTTCTCAAACGACACGGATGAGACAGTGCGTCTCGTCCGGTCGGAGTTTGTGCAATGTATCAGTCTTTAAAATTGGTCAAGGTTGGCACCCGGCCAACAACTTTCAAACGGCCACCCGGGCCAACAACTTTCAAACGGCCACCCGGGCCTAGCTGATCCCTTCAGCTGCAGATTTTTCAAACATCGAACCCCCTTTCCACAACAGCAATTTCACAAGCAGTAGTCAAATAAAACTACGCTAGGAATCACCTCACATCCGCCCATGACCGTGGGCACGGCTGTTCGAACAGTTTGTTAACCTCTGCAGAGGGGGTACACTTTACCCACACGACATTACTAACCCGGATCTCCCAGCCCGTGGGGATCAGCCACGTCGGGAGACCTCCAAGCTTTCATGACAAGGCATTTTGAAAGCCGACACATGTTTACCATGTGCCGACGAGAGGGGTCCAAGACCAACAACAGGTTAGGTCCCAGACCATACTGTGCCAGGAAGCCCAGGGGTCCTCCCCGACACCACCCCGGCGAATCCACATGTCTCTCGGCATCAAGGCTCCCCTGATAAGCTAGTTACTCAGCCAGGGGTGTCCCATTCCACCCATGTGGTCGTACTTGTCTTATGTTTGGATGAAATTCCAAGGAATCGGTCCTTAAGTGCGAGAGCGGGAAACCGTACACCCGATACGTTCCCCGGTCCGCGGTTTTGGAAAATCCATTTAGTTCGCAAGCACCGACCCAGGTGTCGGGTTTTCCAAGTCTTTTGTAAAACCCAAGTTTTACCCAAGTTGTTATTCAGATTTTAAGTTTGAAGGCGTCCGTCGATACTCGCGCAGGGTGCACGAATATCGAGACGCAACTAGATGGTTACAAGGGGACATGATATAACAATTAACAAGGAAGGATCAAATGCAACAAATTAGGTAGGTCCGCCAATCTGCCTTGCAGACGGGACAAACAGATTGAGTGCGATCCTATCAATGCATAATAATTTTTCAAGCAACATAATTAAATTCAAATATAGGCTCAAGATGTTCAAAGGTGGCTTGCCTTGCTCGAGATCTGGAGCTTGATCCTCGAAATCCTCGCACTGCGGGTCTTCGGGCTCCGAAACTACACGCGAAACGGGACAACTCAACAAACGGCGAAAAAATAAAGCCCTATTAATGACTTCTAAGCGTGCCATTAGATAGATCTCGAGATTTGAGGAATTTTGGAAGTTGAACGGAGTCAAACGGATTTACGGTTGGGAAGATATTGAATTTCTAAGATTATTGGATTTTTGGTCTAAAGGAAAAAAATCCTTTTTGGAAAAGAAAAAGAAAAGAAAAGGAAAGAGGGAGGGATTATAGACTTTTCCTCGGGCGGCTAGGGCGCGGCCCAAGGGAAAAGGAGCGGACCGGCCGAGCTAAATGGGCCGGCCGGCCTAAGGCGGCCCAAGTGCGCGCGC